AGACGTGCTGAATATTTCTCATTGGACTCTAAACCATTTTCGGTCAAGATGAATTAAGATTTGTGGAACTCCAAAAACTGGAAAAAACTCTTTTTTTCTAGTTCTTTTTTGCAAAATTTAGTTGCTTAGAGAATATGTTATGAAACTCTTCATAATTTTCGAGCATAAGCTAAGGAAGATTTGTAATAGCGTCGAGTGAATGGCTACTTCCATGTTTTCTGAACGTTTCATGATCCCTAAAATACTCTAGATTCTATTTCATACGAAAAAATAGGTTTGTCCGTTTGTCTCTCTGTCTGTCGTCTCTGTCGATTTTTTGTTGACAGATAATCTCCAAAACTGTCGGACCAATTGTTGTCAAATTGTATACTGTTACGAAAGAAAGCCATACACTGCCTAGTAGATATGTATGGAGATAATAACTCATCGTCGGTGACGGTGGCAGGGCGGCGTTCGCTAAAGAAAAGCCTGGAAGCGGAATTCGCGATGGATATTCCTGCAAGACCTCGATGACGAAAGCTCTAGAAGGAGAGTATGGGTTTAAATAAAGGCCACCTTCGGGAACGATTATTATTCAGGCAGTTCAGTCAAGACATTGTCCAGTCAAGTTGCGCCGGAATTATTTGGTACATAATCGCTGTGTTACTCGTGTAAATTTGAGTTAGTAAGAAATAAATTATTGAGTTCACCCATGTCGATTTTAAATTACCGAACAACGTAACAATACGTATGGTAAGAATTTTGTACAGACAGCAAAACACTAACCAAAATTTATCTGATAACCCCGGCCAACAATTTATTGACATAACCTCAAAATTTTGCATGGTAAATGCTATTTAAATTTTATAAAATAACGTACTTGTATACTTGTGGTTTATGAATCCGCCTTAAGTATACAGATTATTCCAAAAAAAAAATCAGATACACTGATCAGGACCAGGAGCGGTTTATGAATTAAGAAGTTGATAATCTAAATGTCGAAAAAATTATATTGTGGTGCTTTCGTTGTTAGTTAACATCGAAATTTTTTCGAAAAAAATAAAATTTTAGAAACATTAAGCTCACCAAAAATGTGTAATTTTTCTATTCCAGAAAATCTATCAATATTCCCTCAGTTTTTCTCAAAATTTTTCAGATCCTTACAAATCGTTTCAGATTCCACCAAAATTTTCCAGATCGCTTTAGATCCTCTCAGGTCTCTGCAGACTGTTCCAGATTCTTCCAGTTTTTTTAGATTCTTCTAGATTCTCACAAGTTCCCTCAGACTCCTTCAAATTCTTTCCGAATCTCCTACTTTCTCTCAGATTTTCTCAAATTCTTTCAGATTCCCTCAAATTCCTCCAAACTCATTCAGATGTTTTCAAATCCTTTCATTTTCTTTCTGATTTTCTATTTCAAATTCTTTCGTTTTTTTTTCAGATTCTTTCAAAGACACCGTCAGAAATGCTCAAGATTCTTTCAAATTTTTCAGTTCTATTCAGATCGGTTCAGATCCTTCAAATTCTTTCAGATGCCTGCAAATTCTTCAAAATTCTTCCAAATTCTTCCAGTTTTTTTTAGATCCTCTTGGGTTTTTCTAAATTCTTGGAAGTCCCTCAAAATTCGCTCAAATTCTCATAAGTTCACTGAGATTCTTTCAGATTCATTCAGATTCTTTTCAAATTTTCCAATTTCTCCAAGATTCCCTCAAATTCCTTCAGATTCTTCCAGATTCTTTCAATTTCCTCCAGATTCTTTCAAATTCTTTATGATCCTTCCTTTTGAATCGAAATCCTCAAGATTCTTTAAAATTTTTCAGTTCTGTTCAGATTGTTGGAGATCTTTACAAATCCTTTCAGATCCCTGCAAACTCTTCTAAATTCTTCCAGATTCTTCTAGATTCTTTTAGATTCTTACAGATTCTCTCAGATTCTTACAAACTTCCTCAAATTCTCTCTGATTCTTCCAGATTCTTTTGGAATCTTTCAGATTCTCTCGGATTCTCTCACATTCCCTTAAATTCTCTCAGATTCTTTTAAATTTTTCCAGATCATTTCAGATTCCTGCAGATTCTTTTAGATTCTTCCAATTTCTTTTTAGATTCTTCTAGATTCTTCGAAACATCTAACATCCACCTACCAAGATAAGAATAACAATAATTTTTCACAATTATTTTAAAATATTAAAAAAAAAATTATTGGGCAGAAATGTATCGGTGAGAAATAATAAAAATAATAATACACCGCAAAACACCTGAACACATCTACTTACCATATTTGCGAATTTTTGACGATACAATTTATGAACAAGATTTAAAATAGATGTATAGTATAAACCTAAATTCAGACTGTTTTTATTAATTCACGAAATGGGGTTGGCCATGAAAACTAAAAAGTTTGTTGGTAATCGGTACAGAATAATCAATATTCGCTCAATTTTTCTTGACAGATTATGTTATTTTAAATATAAGGTTATGAAATGTGTCAGAAATATAAACATCTTTGACAAAACAAACAAGTAGATTAAGCTCGGGATGTAAAAATATGATTGTTTATATTTTTTTAGATAATTTGTAGAACTTGTTTTTCATTCATTAATGTTTCATGGTTGATCCACGCATGCTCCGCCACTGCCTTTGCTTCGAACGCATTAGGGTTACTAAAACAGTGACCTGACAAACAATGAGGCCAAAAATAAGTAATACCAGTTACAGCATAAAAAAAAATGTGACCCACGGATAAATCGAGGCACAGATTTCACCCCACGTCTGTAAAAACTCAAGGCGTTTTCATAAACTACAAGTACAAGAGTGTGTTATTTTATAACATTTAAATGGCGTTTACAAAAAAAAAATTACAACAATTGGTCCAGTAATTTTAGAGATTATTATCTAATCTTGAATGGATAATATAGCTATTATGAACTAAAAGCACTTCAGTTTCATGTTTGAGGTGTGTGGACGATATTTTTATCATTTTCGTTAAAAAATAAAGTAATATAAAAACAGAACATATTAAAAACAAAGCTCGATCATTTTCTAAAGTTACAAAAAATACACCGACCCATATTAACAAAAAGTAGAATTTCTTCCAATGCAGATAGGTATATAAAAACCTGACATCTAAAGAGAATGTTCTATCTAATATTTATTTTCCTAAAATCTAACTGATATTTTTTGTGTTTCATAGTTTATCGAGTAAAAAATATAGATTTCTGTTTCCGTTTGTTTGTCTGTTTGTTGCCTGTTTCCTAATGATTTTATTAGAGAAATAATTTGACAAATTGTGAAACGTACTTTAAAATTTTAGAAATTTTATAATTAAAATTAAACACCAACAAAAATTAGTCTCGAAAAAATTTATGTCTTCATATAAAAAAATCATCAAGTATCTCAACCTCTACTTTAAACGTTGCATACAACATATATAGGTGTCCCTCAAAAAATAGTTCAGGTACCAAATTTTAATTTATGTAGGTATACCTATTTCAAAAATTAATTAAGAGTTGTCTTAGAAATGTGTCTATTTGGAGTATTATTTAAAATTCATTTATTCATCCTCTTCCAAAAATTGATCGGACGTCACCTAAAAAATAACGAACTAAGTCTTCGTTTCTTAAGTTGAATTATTCAGACAAAATGGTGTAAAAAAATTGTTGTATGTCCTGATTTATGCTATCGATTATTTTGGAAACCGTATATTAATATTCTTGAAAGTACTGACAATACAGTGATATTGTAATAAATTTGTCAAAACGTTATTTGTGTTCAATAATTCGTACATATTTCTATTTGAATTTTCCATGTTGAATTGTTTTCAAAGAAAAGTAAAAATTTCAAGAAAACAATTTTTTGCTGTTCAAGTTTATTTGTAACTTAATAAATATATATACACTAAAAGTAACTCTTTTTTTACTTTACAGTTAATAATTTCTATTATTTATATTGATTTTAACTGTAATCTTAATTAACCCTCCTATTTACTCACTGTGTTCCGAAACTCATCACAAAAACCAAACACGTCACTTACCACTCGTCGAAATATTATTGGTTCACGTGTGACACCTTGCCTCATATTAAAAATGAAATACCAAGTTCATGTACAATCACTCCCGCTGTGACTGTAACATTGATAACATTAATAATTACCCACAGTGCGTACACTCTACGTTAAAATGCATAACAACGAATACGAATGACACCAACCAAAGCCCAGTGTAATAACACCCATGAATAAAATATCTCCGAGCAAACTGAGGTCTTCCAGGTGGCGGTCTCCCACGGTCTCTACCGCCTCTTCCATGGGGTTAATTTGTTTGCATGTTATGTTCTTGCCTCAGTAATAATACAATACTGCAATCGTCTTGTTGTTGCGATATGTAACCTAGTAGTAAAGAAACATTTTCGTATTTAGTGGGTTGCTTCAGTATTCAACCAGACTAAAAGTCCTGCATAATTTATTCCAATCTAACGAATTCACTGGAATCGATGTAATTGTAAAGCGTCGTGATCAAGATTGTTATTTATCTTTACAGGTCACCAATATTTTATAAATCGGAGTTCGATGAAGAGCGGCTTGGATTGGAGGCGCCATCTGCTGGTGGTGCGGCGACTTGTGGTAGTAAGGTGGGAAAAATGGTAAATGATCGAAGCGGGATGGGTGCTCCATCTAGGGGAAAGTGGTGGAAGCTTTTCACAAGAAAGACAGCTTGTGGTTCCAACGTCAACTTGAGGACGTTTTTTATTGTCGCTTCTTCTTTGTAACAATATGAAAACTTCTATTTGAAGAAGTGTTAAGCAAGAGTGTCTGCGGACACACAGTCTTAATAATTTTTCATTGTTATGAATTTTTCTATTATTACTAAGTATTATTAAAAAATCTGTGAAACTTTTGTGTAACTTAATTTTCAGAATATCCTGATTTTTTAAACTGAATGTTTAACACTTAAGCATTGAGTTTCAAGCAAAATGGAGGGAACAATAAAAGTCCATCTAACAAATAGAAAATATTTATTTACCACCTAAATCTAAAATAAATATCAGTTACAATTTCGATTTTGAAATAGATATAATATATAAACAAATCCTTCATAACAAAAACAAAATGGAAGATGCAAGTAAGTGCAACAAATATCTCCATAACAAAATATAAGTGAAGTCTTTATTCATTTGTGCCTGCACATTTGAAAATACCCCCTTAATTACTTCAAGGAGTTAATAGCCTTAGCTATATGCCTCATAGTGTGTTGAGGCACCGCCTCCATCAAAGCCCTCTGAAACTGAGGATGCCCAGCCAACGTGCTCATCAGAGCTTTGGCATGCTGTCTCGTTTCCAGACTCCCCTCCATTAACCCATTGGCACCGACAATCAAAAATTTATCTCTGGTTTCTTTAGGTAGTTGAAAAACTTTCTCAGGCCCTATTCTCATAGCTATATCACTAAGTAAACGAGTCGCTACTGCTCGCACTACGCCGTTCTGATGAGTCGATCCTTTGTTGGTCACCACAGCCACCACTCGAGGCACCGACATGTTGAGACTCATAGCATCTAGTGCTGCATTCGCGTCACTCCGAAGGAACTTATTAGTATCAGCGGTTCGTTGCAAAAGTGGAGCTGCAAGCTCTTCCAATTCCTAGAACAAACTTAATCAAAAATTGACCTACAAAAAAATTTGATAGTACCATTTCGAGACCCCTTTTGCACGTCGAAAAAAGCTCGCTAGAAGCGTGACAAGCCGTCCTAGCCACCTGTGAGCGTAAATTCCGAATATTTTTTGCCAGAGCTACACAAATCGTGTGCATTTGTAGCTCCATCACCTCTGGGTGGTTCCGTGCTAGACGAATCAAAGTATTCAGACCCTTCATTATAGCTTCCCAATCACCGCTCTCCATCTGTGCCAATCCTTGATTTAGAATTTCTTTAGGACGACTCACCGGTCTCACTTCCAATTTCACACTTATTGGCGATTTGCTAGCTCTTCTTACAGATGGCGTCCTCACGCTAATGCTTCTCCTCATTAATCGCTTTGGCGATTGACCCTGATTAAACTTTCATTCAAGAAAAGTCGATACTAGAAAAACACTTACCGAGTGTTTTTTCGTCGGCGTTGTGTCGCTAGAGGCCACTGATCCTGGCAGTGACGTCTTAATGGGGGTAATTTCGGGGGATTGTTCAAAGCTGTAAGGCACGGAGTTGACGATGTCATTGAGGGGAGGTGCAGAGTTGATGTTCTTGCGTTCGGTGATTTCGGGGAGAGAGCTTTTCAGAGTTCCTTCGGATCTTGACTTGCTTCGGGGCTCCGTGAAACGGGGGTTTTCGCTGAAGTCCACTTCGTCCAAGGGGCTGTAGCGCTTGGGTTCTTCAGGTTCCTTCGGTTGTTCTGGTTCTTCGAAAGGGACGTCTTCGATTCTGCTCGTGCTTTCAGCTGAGCTTGCCGATGATTGTCGTTGCTGCAAAATCCAATTATTTTGTGTCGATTAACAAATAGTGACAGTAATAGCGCTAAAATTAATAATAATAATAATAACGGTTAATAGAAAAACTAATATCCGAAATAAAGTCAGAATAAAAATGTTTCAACAAACGAAGTAATTAATTCAGCGCGAGGTTATAGGGTTCGTTATCAACATTTAGAGCCAGTCCTTGAGAAAATAATGAGAACTGGCAATATCAACGCGAGAATAAAAATGGTATTTACTAGCATTCGTATGCATTACTTATTCTAAAAATAGAATTTTAATGGTTAGGTCAAATAAAGCAATATAAATCACTGCGTTTGTTTAACCGAGAACAATCATTATTATGGACGGTGGTTGAAACACCCAGTAATGGAAACAACATAAAAGCGTCCACCAGTCACGTGACTTTTTATGAATGATATATTGACATTTGTAAAACTTATGTCGTTACAATAAATAATTAAATTCCCATAAGAATCAATACTTTAACCGCAAATTAGACGAGTAGTTCCAAACTGTAGAGTTTGTGCACGATTAGAGTGGAAATACTATAAGAAGAAAATGCGAGTCATAGGTCCCTTAGGTCATTAATCATCTACAGAAAAAACTTTCACAAGTGCGACGTTTTAGTGGTGCATACTTCTCAAAATATTTCAACTCTAATTTATACTTTGCTATTTATTTTCTTCTAAAACTCTACATCAAGTTTTTGTTTTAAAAAAAATAACACAACACTCATCTATTAATTTAAAATTTTTAGAAAATTTGCGCAACTCTTAAAAACATTTAAAATTATAATAACGTGCAAACTTTTAATTCTAGACTCTTAAATAGATACTCTACAAAGACTGTTCCAAATAGCCAAGGATTATTCAATTTTTTATTCATTAATACAAAAATGGAATTGCCATTATTCTCAAAATTATACTATTAGTTAATGATTTTTTAAATTTTTTTCGTTTAAATGAGCTTTAAACATGTGCTAGGGACGTAGAAACAAAAAAAAAAAACTGATAAGGAAATAAAACTAGACAAATTTTGAACTTGACGTCATCACCCTCACCTTTTGATTGGCTGCTTCAATTTCGCGCCAATTTTAAAATTACGTGCTTAGTGGTCGGTATGTACATTGTGATTGGATAATAGCAGAATTAGGTGAAGGGCCGCTGACAAACACGGCTGTCATTTGGGCCACAATTCTCGTCTGTAGCCCCATTGATGTTTATAATACCAGTTTTCATTTTAACCTTTAGGGTGATTTTGTAGTGAGTTAATGAGAATTTCTGGACGAATGCTAGCAATAAACGCGATTTTTCAAATAGCCCCACAAAAAAAAATCAAGCGGTGTCGAATCCGGTGACCTGGCAGGCCGCTCAATAGTGTCCGTTCGGCTTATCCATCTACCAGGAAAAATTTATTTTAAATACTGTCGCACTTGACGTGGTGCAGCACCGTCTTGTTGAAACCAAATAGTTTCTGCTGGTAACTCCGGATTTGGGTAATTGGGAAACAATTTTCTGAGTCTAAGCACTATACGTTCCCGCAACAGCCTTAAGTATCTGTTTGAATTGATTTTCTACTAACATTAAGGGGATTTTCATTGTATTGTACCAGCTTTTGGACATTTTTTAACATTTCCAGTTTCATTACATCTTCGTAGGGTTTTTGAAACAACAACAAAGATTAAGCCCCACCCACCCACCCCGATCTCAATTCTGATGACTTTTTCATTCGTAATCAGACCGAGGGGCGGAGTTTAATTGCAAAATTCATATTTGTGTACAAAATGTTGGCCTTTGAAAAACACATTTCACATGGGAATTTCTTGAAGAGAGAAGAGGATTTTGCAGACTCACGATGAATAAAAAAAATCATCACGTTTGCGATCGGGTGGGTGGGTGGGGCTTATATTTTGACCATTTTTTCTTAACATACGTAGTCTTCTTTTCCCTTAAAAGAAACTAAAAACTAATTTAATTATCGTGTTGTTCAAAGAAAACTATATTAAAAAAGTCTCGATCTAAAAGTTTACTATTTTGGACAGGTACTTAAACCTTGTTCTGAAAAGATAGCTACGTATGTAAAAAAAGAAGTAAAATATAATTGATGAAGTACATTTGTTTTTAAGGAAATTTTATAAAACGGAGTAGACATGAAAACAACTTTCTCTTGTATTTTTTTAAGAAACTGAAAAACTAGATGTACCTTAACTGTTTCAATTCATTATTTTAATTCTTGGTAGATCAGATATCAACATTTTATCCTATCAAATTAGACACGTTATCCTTTATCGAATAAAAATTTCTGTCTAAACATTTCGTTTTAAAGTTATTCTAGTTGGGAAAAATGTAAGTTTAAAATTCCTTTGTAATATCTAAGACCCCCAACTGATCAAATGACAAAAAGATAAGTCGAGAAAGTTCTGGTAGTCTAGCACTAGGGAATGAAAATAGGTATTCCAGAATCAAATCAGGCTTGAAACGAAGAATTAGGGTCTTGTAAACGAAAGTTTTTACATTTCTAGACTTTAACTCCTATTGAAAAATTGTTCCAAGGTTACTTCGACAGAACTTCCCTCGCCCTTGAAATACAATTCAATAAATTCTGTTTCTTTGAAAATTTATAGAAAATTTGTGTTTTCTTATAACCTTTATATAGTAAAAACCAGTGACACCTCGATCCCCCTGCGCCGTGGGGGTGCAAATACCAAGAAGATGCCGTCCGCAGACAATATGAAATGTATTCAAAGCAAATAACAAAAAAAAATAGTATATTATTATCAGTGTACATGCTTAACTTCGATTGTTTATGTTCACACATCGAGAGAATGTCACGTAGAAATTTGTTTAATTTGAATGAGTTATCTCCTCAAAACAGAAGACTACAATTATTAATTAAGCCACAATGGAACAAAATGCTTTGTTGTTTTTTATTTTTATTTGATCATAATTTTAAATAAAAACTGGGTATTCTCACATTTTTTAGAAAATGAGGTTCTTAATTTGATCAATAAAAAATTGGTCGAAAGCTACGAGTATAAGTACATATAATTCGACAAATGCAACTGTAAAGTAAAAACCAAAGGTACAAATAACAACCTTGTGCTTCAGCACTAGCTAATAGCAATCTGAAGCTCAATTGTTTATTTATGTTTATATATACATCGAAAGAATGTCATGTAGAAATTAGTTTGATTTGAATGAAATTGTCTTCTCAAAACAGGACTAAAATTATTAATTAAACCACAATCGAACAAAATATTCTGAATATTATAATTCTTATTTTAACATTATTGTATAAAGACATGCGTATTGTTCACATTTTCGAGAAAATGGGGTGACTCGTTCTTAATCTGACCAATTAAAAATTTGTGATGATGTCATTAACATGGATAATTTTAGTCACATCACAAAAGAAAAGTAGCTACAGTGTTTATACCAATCCAAGAAAAAAAAAGAAAGGGCCAAACCGTGTGGGAATAAAACGTTATTATACCTTGCAAATGTTTTTGCGAAAATTTAAACGTTTTGCGAAAAAACTGAAAGCGGATTCGTACACTACAAGTATATGAGTACAGTTTTGTATAACATTCAAATCATTTTAAAATACCATTCATTGAAATGACGTCATCAAATTGTTGGCGGGGATGATTAGCTAAATTTTGGTTAGCATTTAAGCATCTACATGATATTTCTAATATACCTACTTATATACAAAATTTGACAATAGTCGGTCCAGCAGTTTTGGACATTACATGTCTAATAAAAATATGTAGATACAAACACCAGAGAGACGGAAACGGGAAACTGCTTTTTTCGTACGTTAGGGGTCATGAAACGTCTAGAAAACATAAAAGCCATTCGTCCAATGGGCTCGCTTACGCTCGAGAAGTGAAAATGTTTCAAATCTGTTAGCTAAAGTAAAATGCAAATTATTTAGTAAAATTGCAAAAAAAGCTCTTTGATAGTAATCCAGGATTATAAATCGTCCTTAGTCAGTGCTTATTCATTTCTCATTACAAATACTGGACGAAGAGAAATACAGCTTGCTCGTCCGGTACCAACTTGAGGACATTTTTACTTCCCGATCCGATAAGGAACTATTGTAGTAGGGTCCATCCGACTAACGTTTTCATGTTTTCTCGACGTTTCATGACCCCTAGAATACAAAAATATGTCTCGCGGTTCCGTCTGTCTGTCGCCTGTGTCAATTTTTATTAGACCGAAACTACTGCACCGATTGTTCTCAAATTTTATATGTATGTTAGGAATATCGTGTAGGTGGTAAAACAATAACAACAATTTGTCTAATCATCCCCATCAAAAATGTAATCACGTCAACTTCAAAATTTACAATAGTAAAGGTTATTTAGATTTAATAGAATAAGATACTCCTACAGTACTGTTGACTTTTTACCCTAAACATTCAAATTTTTGACAAAAACTCAAAATTATATAACAACATTAACTTTTAAACTGAAACATTGAATGTTCTGAAAGGTTACAAACATTTTAAGACCATCGTAAGCAGTGTAAATCTTTAATCAAAATTTATCTGTTTATCTTCTCCCAAAAAAATTGATGACGTCATCATAACATTTTGCCGAACAAATTCAACTAAAATATGCGAAATACTATGACAATGCTCGTGGTTTATCAATGCATTCATATTTTTTTAAATCACTGATTCAGAGTGACTCAACGAAATTAAATTAAAATCAAATCAAGAACGGTTCAGCCCGTTTTCCCTAAAATTTTACAACTTTGCATCAAATTTTTTAGTAAAACCTGAACGTGCTCGCTGCGCTCGCATCCTAATCATTCTTGAGTTAGTCTAAGAAGTATTCAATAACGAAGTTGTTTGGGTTCAGTTGTAATAATAAATAAAAAATAATAATAATAATTTAATTTCTTGCTCGCTGTGCTCCCATTTTTAATGTGTTTTTTTAAAATCATACGGTTTCATAAGAACAATTACGAATGAATCGTCAGTGGCGCTACTTAGGTTTGTTTTATTATAATAATCTTATAGACGTCCCTGTGAAGCTACATTAATCTGAAAAAATCATCTTCGAGAGTGCGAGTGCAGTGAGCACCTGTAATTTGAAAGAATAAATTCATTAACTTTACTGATTACTTTTTGATAAAAATTATCACCAAAGATCTGGCCTGTACTGACCTGACCTGACCTAACCTAACCTAACCTGACCTGACCTGACCTGACCGAACCTGACCTAATCCGCCATGACCTGACAAACATTTCTCAACAAGTAGGGACACTAGAAGACTAAATTAAACATTTCAATTTTATCTATTAAGTGGTACCACCCTTAATGTCAGAAATTTCGTAATCTTTTGATAATAGTAGTAGTAGTTTTAAGCGATGAAGAGATGCAGTCAAATGCAAGAGCTTTGAAATTTAATTTTAGTAATTTAGAAAACCAACCTTCCAACAACAAAATCAACACAGTATATGCAACCTAGTAAAATCTCCACATACCTCAACTTCAAGTTCGTGAGTTTCCGAAGCCTCCGACTCCACCACTTGAAAGTTAGGCTCTGGCGCCAGCCCAAAATTGTTGTCTTCAAACGACTCATCCGGAATGAACCTCTCAATCGCCTGATCCTTCAAATGATGTTCCGCCGGAGGCGTAAAGTACCCCGAAGATTCAGACCCCGAAGACGGAGGCGGCAACGGTTGAGTAAACTGTTGAGCCGACGTCCTCCGAATTATGGGTGTATTCTGCGGACTTTCAAGTTTCGTCCTGAAACAAAACTCCCATTAATCATCCCCAAACCCAAACCACCACCCACGTCCCCATCAAAAAACGCTTTTGCCACTCACTGCGTCCCCTCCTCCTTCTCGGACACGATCCGCACCGGCACCTTCGCCGAGCCGCTTTTGGAAACCTCAGCCGGCGCAACATGTCCTTTCCGAAAACAAGCGCAACACGTCCACAGCGAGAACTTTTCCTCGTGCAAACCCCACGGATTGCTCTTCAGACTCTTGTCATTCCCCCCTCCGAAAAACGCGACGTTCGTGCAGAACATCCCCGGAGGTTACCAGCTTGAAGACGTGGTGTTTTCAAACTAATTTTACGGTGTGCTATGGTCGCATTGATTCGTTGACCGCCACCTCCGCCCCCCGCGCCGTGGCCTGTATACCGCCGATATAAGTAGACGGTCAGAGGTCGATGGCAGAATGCGTCGTGCCGCCATCGACTGGTTTATGGCAAATAATGGATGATTAACCGTTTTTATTGAGTTTGCGATAAGGGCTAATTTCTTGCAAGGGGTAATTCCAGGAAGGCGTTTTCGCCAGCTAGCGCTGACCTTTTTAAAATTCACACAACAAAGGCGATCAATAATTGTAGTAATTAATTCTCCCACATACACTTCGTGGAAAATCGATTCTTTCGTCGAGTTTTGCGCGACGATGGTTTATGTTAACGCGGCGATGGGTTAATAAAGGGTAACGTTTTCGGTTCAACATAAGGAAGCGTTTCATGTATGGGAACATGCAAGCTCAATGAGGGCAAAAACAGGGGATCTGAGCGTGACATACGTGTTTTATTAATTCAATTATGAAGCAAGAGCATGCAAGGCTTTTCAAAAAGAATACACCTGTGTATTCAGCTAATGAAGGTTCTTATGAGAGGGGAAATTCATCAATGTTTTGAAAACCATGCTCCAAAGTAGAATTTAAAATATTTTCTTCGATTCTAAATATAAGTTTTAATTGTTACGCGAAATGCTAATTTTTTAGAATATTAGAATATGCAAATTTTATGGAAAATCGATTCACTTTTTGCAAAAAAAGAACTCTTGCTATCTGATTTGTTTCAGTATGATATCTGATACGAGTCTAAACAAAGAACCCACGCGAAAATTGCGTCAATGTAATACTGTCATTAGGAAATGAGTATAACGAATTGGTAGTATTAGAAGAAGTAGATTAATGGGGCGATGGTTTACAAAGATTGTAGAACTGAGGAAAAAAGCATTCTAGAAAAATTCCATTTGAGAAAATTCGAAGTTTCGAGAAGATTATAAAAGATTCTATTATCAAGAAATGTCACCTTTTTGAACTGAAGTTGTGAGAAACAAATCAATCATCAAACAGTTCTAGAAGAATTAAAAAATATAAATAAATGTTTAATGTTAACTTTCTCCACTTAAGTATAAAACAAATCAAAGCATGATTTGATGCAAACAAAAGATATAAAACCAACAAAGTTAAAAATATCTTAGCGATCCATAGGTCATGGTTCACTAACCTACGCTTTGTTTAATTGAACCTAAATGTTTGAATACGTTTTAAACCCATCGGATCATGAATAGTTTAATCAAGAAAAAAAGAAAATCGCTTTGTTGTTAATTTGTAAAGTTCATTACATTGTACTTCCCACCTGTTTGAAGCATAACATATACCCCACATCGTGGCGTATATTCCAATTTATAAAGTAATAACCACAGTACGTCATCATCTTTTTCAGAAGAATGGGGACAAATGTATCCATTTTGGTCACATTAATCATAATATTACTATGTTCTGAGAATTTCAGGCACATTAAATAATCCGTTTCTAGGGTAATCGATAAAATAAATCTGTTCAAAGTTAATTTAGAAACCTGTGTTGATGTAATCCATATTTAGTTTTTTTTTTATTAAATATCTCCTTTACCTACTAAATAGAATATGCCATAACGTTAGAATTAGAAACACGACAACGACTGTTACAAATGTCTGGGAATTCAACACAATGACAGTATGCGTGAAATATCAATTTCTTTAGTTATTCATGTATCATGTCATGTTGATAAATGCCGCTTTTCGACAAACTAATATAAATCAAGAATATAGTGGTGCCCATCAATCATAGATATTGAAAGTTTATAGACGGACGTTGTTCTTTGTAACAAATAATAAGTTTAAAAATATTTTTTGTAAATATTTGACAGGTCTTATTAATTTGGAAGTAAACACCTAGACAAAAAATTATAATAGCTAATAAAATTTCAACAACTTTAATTTCCACATCTATTACCGAGAGCCTTTTTTGTACTTAAAACTACTTGCAAGGCTGAGAATCCACAGATGTTCCAGTTTAACGAAACTATCACATTACAAAATTGATACAAGAATAAAAAATTAATTATATGAGGTGTCTAAATGGTTGTGACATGTCCGACCTTAATATTCATAATTTCTACCGACTTGTTAAAAAAAAAGGAATTATGGAAATGTCAGAATCAGGTTGTGTCAATTTATGGTAAGCATTTTATTTATCAGAGCTTAAGGAAGTCAACACTTCCAGAAATACAAACTATTTTGTTTTCGATAGATTATTCATTACATGAAACTTAGATGACATTTGATTGATCAATTTTTTGTTTAAAAGTTCTTGGAAGCGAAATAATCTCTAAAATAAGAATACTAAATGTGGCGGTATTTTCAAAAATATGAACAGTTTTCGCATTTTGATGAAATATAAAGTGCTACTATTAATTAGTCTATGATGCTTCATTTGTCTGCACATTATATGTTAGTTTCTGTATATGTACAGAGTCATCAAAATTGATTGAGAGAGTTGGTAAACCTGAACTTAAATAATTTGGTTTATTAAGTTGTATAAAAATATTAGCTGTCAGATTTGAAGTTTCAAATTTCAAATTTCAAAACTCAGTGGCGTCTTTTTTCGATTTTTTTTTTTTTTTGGTAAAAAAATATTAGTTGTCAGATTTGAAGTTTCGAATTTTAGATCCGTTCATTTCTGGAATTTGTTCTCAAAGATGCAAGTAGCAATAAGGTATAGTGTGCACATCGACCAAGGCGATTCGTACAAACGTTAAAAGGTTAAAACTGTTCGCAACTTTGCAAGAAGGTAAGTTTCGTATTCGCAACTGATTCAGGTGAGTTCGACAATCAACCCCCAGTTCTCTTGTCACGCCACTGAATTCATTGCCATATAACCTTAAAGAAATCTGTCATAAGGTTGACAAACTTCACGACAAAAACAGGGAGTACCAACTCTCTCAATCAATTTTGATGACTCTGTACTAATTTCAAACAATGTTTGAGATCAAAATAGAAAAAAATATTAGAAATCAGTTTTTTGATATATGTCAAGAGGATTAATTAATTTTTAGCTGAGAATTTAGTTTTACTGCCAGATTTTTTTCCAGGAAAGATAACCTTCAAAATAGCTACCAATGACCTGAAATTTAAAATAACTCCGAATTAAATTTCAGGTGATTTATAGCAATTTTGGAGATTATCTTAGATAAACTCTGAGAAAGGATGATTTTTTATTATTCGAGACATAAAAATATAAAACAGCTAAACTAGCTAACTATCAATACAAAAGAATACTAACAAAAAAGAAACACTAGACTTTGAAAATAAAAGTAATAATTTAAACACATTTAAAAAGAAGCCAGTTCACAAAACTAAAGAAATGTTGTTAATAAAGTAAAATTAAGATAATAGGGAAAAAAAATACCATGAATACAGACAGTGTCGGATCCAGGACCTAGGGGCCCACCGGGAAATAAATTTACAAAGTGGTCCCCTGTGGTACTGTATACTGATGCTATTTAGATATTATTAATATTATTGTTACTAATATTTTGAGTTTTACCAGCGACATTGGCGTCTTGAAAAAATTAGTGGAAAGTTATTCGACAGAACTTCCCTCGCCTCTGAAGTACAATAAATCATATCCACCGTCTTCGAAAAATTACAAAATTTGATATTGCTAATATTACTTTTTTGTGAAAACCCCTATAAGTTAAAATAAGATATGTTTACAATGTACATGTTTCTGTCATTAGGACATTTGGACAATAAAGATATATTATTATTATTATTATTACAAATGAGTTTTTCCTTTACAAAATTTTGTAATGACATCATCAACATTTTTGCAAGGACACGTATACCACTTTGCATAGGTGCAGTATATTACTAATAATAACAGTGCTGTACTCCCACATTTTCGTTCATGATTTAATAAATGAAACAAATTGACTCATTCATTAATTTTTTTGAGTTACCTGTAACTAATGCCTGCATAAGCAATTCTAAATAAATTGTAACGGGGCGCAGTGAGGACAAAATCTAAAATGTTTTAAACAAATAACCAACGGGAAAACCTGTTTACTCAGTGTTTGATTAGATGCGTAATTTCAAGTGTTTATGACTTCGAAAGAATTCACTGTTGGAGCGTTTCTATGACAAGCATCAGGAAATGAAATTTCATCGCTTTTGTCTCGTCAAAACAGAGAAAACGACAAATTTCATTAATTAAGCTAAAATCGGGCAAAACGGGTCGAAAAAGGAGTGAGTTTTTCATAACTAAAATTACAACACACTAGTATTAAAAAAAAACTAAAGCGGACGAGTATAGGAGTATATATAACATTAAATCAATTTTTTTACCATCCTTTGAGATGACCTCATTACGTTGGTGATGATATTCTCAATATGCACCCAAAATTTAACAACAATCGGTCCAGTAGTTTGGGAGATTATCTGTCTAATAAAAATTAACACAAACAGACAGACGACAGACAGATGATAACGGGAGATGTAAGTAGATTTACCCCACAAATTGCTAATAAAATTCAACTTTTAACATTGACAAACATCAAACTCAAGGTAATGATAATAATGTGAAATAAAATGGGCGCCCCAATCAAAAAGTGGCAAAGTCTTGACCACAGGGTTTCCTTACATTTATAATCGCTGATTTTCATCTACAATTACACATACAGTGACACTGACTTCCATCTCTAGGGTGGAAAGTGACAGACAAGTGATATATGTCACTTTCCACCGTTTGGATTGAACTGAAGTATGCAATAGCCACTTCAAAACTTTTGAAAAGTTTGAAAATTTCACATTACTGACCGATTGTGAATAAAAACGTTTTCAAAAACCCACGTTTAAAATGTTCGCAGTTAATTTTAGGTCCCCTAGTGTTTTCTTTTCGGATCAATTTAAACGAATCTCTCTCTCATTTGCTAATTTATCTTAGCAGATACTAGCCCCGCCCACCCGCCCTCTGTTAGAGGGTATCTCATTTACCAAAATCACTCTTATCTTAGCAGGAACTACCTCCCCCACCCTCTATTTTCTAGGAGGGTATGTTTTTTTATCCAAATTGGTTTTAGATTAAGAAGCACTAATCCCGCCCACCCGCCCTATATTTTCTTCGAGGGATCTCATTTGCGAAAATTACTCTTATCTTAGCAATTACTAGCCCCGCCCACCCAACCTCCCTTTCCTTAGAGGATATACTAGCAGCTAGTAGCTAAGATAAGACTGATTTTGGTAAATGACATACCCTCTAAGAAAAGAGAGGGTGGGTGGGCGGGGCTAGTAGTTGCTAAAATAAGAGTGATTTTGGCTTATGAAATACCTTCTAAGAAAAGAGAGGATGGGTGGGCGGGGGCTAGTACCTGCTACGATTTTGGCAAATGAGATCTCTCTAAAAAAATAGAGGGCGGGTGGGCGGGATTAGTACTTGCTAAAATAAGATCAATTTTGACAAATGACACCCTCCAAGAAAAGAGAGGGCGGGTGGGCGGGGCTAGTAGCTACTAAAATCAGTTTGTTGTGTTTATTATCCTAAAAAAATTAGAGTAGAGTGTTGCCAATTTTACTTTTACAAAATTACATTTTTTTCGTAAGATGCATCATAAAGAATTTAAATTATTTTTGTAGGACTCTCAAAACCCCCGTACATAACGTATTGAAGAGTTAATCCGCCACTTTCGTATACCGGGAAATTTCTCGGTGTCCCGGCGGCACAATCCGACACTGAATACAGAGAACAACATAAAAAATAAAGTTTAATACAAGAAATATACGTTAAATATAACTAAAACGTAATATACTTTTGGGATTTCAAAAAATGTAAGGCCACTTTTCAATCGTCTTCATAAAAAATTAATATGTACGAGGTGACTATTAACGATTGTGATTTTTTGTCAAGTTGGCAACGTATTTAAAATTTGACGATGGCATAACTGATGGTCAAAATGAAATTTAGAGCACCAAGTGCTCTTCTCCTTACGTTTATAAAGCACGTTAAGCGCGCAACTGTGAACTGACATGTTAACATTGCTGTCAATAATTCAGAATAACCAACACAAAATTTTTTTTCAATCATTAAAAGTCACGCGGTACTTTATGTATTTTAGATTATATAAAATAAAATACAAAATTGTGTGCTAAGTGTATGTATATATGCTATGTCTGATGGACAAACAAAAGTAATTAGTATATACTTCTTCAATATACACTAAAAATAAATGATAAATAAAAATAAAAATTACTAAAAAAACATACTAGACACAAAAAAAAAACTATTTCAATTCCGCTCCAAGTTAGAATTGGCTCCAATTTCAATCCTAATTTGTCCCCAGTATTGGAACTGTGGGATCAAACTTTTGCAAAAAACTTTAAAAAATTTTTTACTTTGAAATTAAATGCAGCTTATTTCATAAACTTTAATTCATGCTTTGAACATGACTACCATGTTTAAATTACAATACAAGGAAATTCTAATTTTTAAATTATTAAAAGATATTTTCCCACTGTTGTCATCCAGAAAACTAAAAGAGGTCAGTTGAGCAAAAAAAATATTGCGTTACTTTGCTGATCAATATTTTATCAAGGACACTGAGTAATTTATATCTTCTTTGAGACGTTAAAACAGAAAAAAAATCGTCAATTTTAAAAAAAGGACGTTTCTGATTAATGTATGTAGTTTTAAAATCTTTTTTATTTACATAACATAATACCATAATTCAGAATACTATAGCACTTTTTTAATCTCTTATTTTTAGTTTTGTTAAACTGCATTCAATGCAACGACAAAACAAAAACACATTAAATAAAAATAACTTTCGTTCATTGACTTATTTCCAACTATAAATTATAATACTTACTTTTATTGATTTTTATATTAACTCATTTAAATGTAAATTGCATGCTTACAACATTTAAACATACATTTAAAAACCTTAAAAATCAATATATTCCTTACACGTACCAACAGTTCCTGGTTTACTTCATATTAAACCTCATTTTACAACAAACCAAAAATTTGAACCTACCTTATCGGCTCCTGGGCAATAAGAGGCCCCGAAAACGCCTCCGACGACTGCCTATGTGACCTAAATTTCAACTTGGTGTCCGAAGTAATGGGAATTGGAATGCCTGATCGAAACTCCCTCAGCCAAATCCCACTTCTGGCTGAAGAACCTATCAGAACTCACAAATAAGTACTCCTTACACTTACCAACAACTACCTACCTGTGGAAGTTGTAGAAGAACGACTAGACAACGAAAACGAAGTAGGTTCATAATTTTTAACATTGCCGTTATAAATGTGCTCGGAAGAAAAACTTTTCCTAAACTGTTCCGCTTGTCTAAAAAATCTTTTGGCCTTATTTCCATTAATATCAGTAAAAGTTTCTTGGTTTTCGGTGCGCCTTCTTGGCGGAGAGTTGGACCTGCCTCTGTCGTAATTCCTGTAGGTCTTTCCGTTAACTTGGGAAGCGTCGCGATGAAGAACGTAAACCGGGCAAAGTGTGGCTACAACATTATTATCAACTACCCAGTCAAAACTAAGCACACAATTAATACCTTTCTCGATCGCTCCATTCTCTATCTTCGGAAAACTCGAAGCATCCACCGCCCAGATTTGCTCCCTGCTTCCATTGTTCGAGTCGTCCTGGAAAAAATTGATTTTCACTTCACGTGCACGGTATCATCTATAATTTATAAACCAACCACAAGGAAATTGTTTAAGGAGATCGGACGAAGCGCATACAAACGACACAATAACATTTTAACTGTGGAAAACAAGTAACAAAATATCTGCAGAAAGAAATGGTGGTTGATCAATAGCCGGCACCACTGTGCACGACACTTTGTTTGGGCCGCCGCTTTCGTGACACTGCATGATTTACCAAGTTTGACGTCATCAATAGTTAAGGGATAATTGTATCGTGTGTATGTAGATTAGTAGCAGAAACAACCAAACAAGATTAGTGTGAAAAGGTTACACTTACATAAACCGAAGGACTTCTGATAACTGGTAGATCAATTTCGTGCCGTAAATTATGCCTCCAGTAGTTGTTAGAAGGAACTTTGATCGAATTTAGAGAAGTGGTTTTGTGGAGACTTGGAACGCCACCACAAAGCCAGTCGAACTCTTCTTGCTCTCGAGGGCTTGAATAGCGCACGCTGCCGTCTAGATCTACGGTTGGTAGCTGCCGTCTTGACAATCTATGGAGTTAAGTTAGAAGACGCAAATCAAAAATTGTGGTTTACCTTGTTCGTATGACTGTGACTAACTGGTTGGACTCGTCGTCGTTCTTCGACATTTCATTGACAGCTTGTAAGATCATGGTGTTACCTGCTACTTGAGCCAAACTGGCTAGAGCTTCTAAAGCGGCTTGTCGGACACCTCTCTTATTGTCTTTCATGGCATCAAAAGCTATCTGAATCCCGCGATTAAGATCGATTTCCGAGCTTGGGAAAGTTCTAGCAGCTGCGATTAACGCCTGTAGTACTGCTTCCCGTTCATTAGGTGTCACAGTTACAGATTCGAAGAACTTCTTCGGAGAACTTCGCTTCATTAGAAGGAGAGATAGGCGAACTCCTGGTGGTGGCAAAACTTTAACAACGTCACTACAGAGTTGACTGTACAATTCATTAATAAAATGAGGACTGATTGTTGATATAATCAAAGCCAGAGCTTCCTAAAAGTTAACTGTCATACAACACCAAGAGATTATTAAAGCTAACCTGAGCGCGATACTGAAGACGAGCTTGTTTCTCAAACAAAAACAACACCTGTAGCAATTGTGGAAGAGAAACACTATCGAAATTTATCGAGTTTTTCCGTAAAATAGTAATGAGGTCGTCCAGGGCTCGAGTTCTACTCCAAGTGTCCTCCTAAAAAACTTGTTTTGAAATATGAGCTTATTATAATGAGTCATGAAGTCAACGTCCTAGTTTCGTGCGATTATCGGTCGACTGCATCAGGAAATAAATGGAACGGAACATTAATGACAAAATCAATACTATTGGCATCTGTGTCCGCTTAAGTGACCAGAACCCACCCAAAAATTGCAAAATTTTGGCGGAGGCGCCGGTTTATTCTCTTTTATATAATTAAAGTAGCCCAAAATAACTAATTAATTCATGAATATAAATAAATTAGGTCCCGCACGCTACAACGCACCAGCCAGATGCAAATATTTGGCAGTCTGAGACCGTATAATGTTAATTTATTCGGTGAACCCATATTTCATCTGACCTACTTTAACGGTTTGCTTTATGTTTACACGGCACTTTCTTGACACGCTGCTCACCTTATGGCTAAGATCACGCACTACGATCTCTAAAGGGGACAAATTACTCGTTTTCTCTTCTTTTTCTTCACCCATGTACACCTGAAAACTCGGGTAAGTGTTTTGTTCAGGTTCTTCCTCTGCCTCCATATTGGTATCTTCCTTATCATCTTCTACTTTCCTCTCCGGGCTTCGGGTTAGATTATGGAAAACTTCAATTTCGTTGTGGACAGGAACCGGGCTAAATTCATCTTCACCCCGACTGAGTTTTCTAACCCTACCACCCGGGTTTTCATTTTCACTCTGAAGCAATGAATTTACTTGTTGTTCTTGGTTTGGTGCAGGCTGGGGTAATTTTGGCGGGCTTTTGCTGTCATGGCGCAGCGGTATCTTGGAGGATTGCAGCTTTCCAAGATCGGGAGCTGATTTGTGCAGTCTCTTCGGTCGAAGTTTTTTCCGGGGAGTTGGAGGGTTGGAGCCTCCGGTGGTTATTCGGACCGGAATCATGCTCTTGTGGCGCGTTTTGATAGCGGCTATGTTATCACTGACGGTGATTTTGATGCTAGTCGGGCGGTCTATTATTACGGAAGTTTGGACGTCGTTGTCGTCGCTGGAGTTCTGGTTGCTGTCACTTTCTGGAGTTCGCATTTTCACGACTTCGCCTCCAAAGTGGACTTTGCGAGGGCTTCGAGTTACTAATTCGGTTTCGGAGTCGTCGTGGTCTTGTCTACGTGAAGCAGAGGTTTTTGTTGTGGGTGTTAGGTAAATGACACGCAAAATTGACCATAATGGTGTTGAAAAAAAGTAACTTGATTTAACTTTGTAAAAGTTTAGAAAACATTTTCGAAAACCTCGTGTAAAACTTTTTGTGCAATCTTCTCGACTACTCGAGTAATAGTAAGAAAAAGGATCGATGTAAAGTCCGGATTTAAAAAATTAATGGTGAAGATTGAAATCAAATTAGGCGAATGGAAAGGTCAGTAATCCCGCTACTGAAAAATTCATGTTATAAAAGTCAAATGTTGATTACTTTGATTACCGAGAATGACTAAGCGATTATTTAAATCTGTTTAACATTACAATGTAGAATTATTATTTTCTGTTCGAAAAATGACAATTTTGGTGTTGCGGGTATGCATAAGGTGCTTTTATTTTTGTATTATATCCAGGAATCAAACATAAAAACCTGTTACCTATGTCATTTTTGCTTCTCTGTCAAGTTTTCTATTCTTTTCAAGCTCCATCCGTACTTTCGGATTCATTTGTACATGATTTGTCCCGCATAATTTTCATTATTTATTTTAACCTACTTTTTATCTAGTTTTTACTTTAAACAAGATATCATGAACAGATTTCTTTCTTGTAGTAAAATACACGATGTTCAGTAAACTTCCACATTTTTAGTGAGTTTCTAATGATCACTAGAGAGCAGATTAAATGCTCTAGTATACATCCCTTTTTTAAATTGATTGACTCAGATTAATTATTATTGCATATTTTGACGATCCATTGCATATTTTGTCAATTCGAGCATATGTATGCATATTTGTATATGTTTTACTTTGTCAGTTTAAAAAAAATGGAAACTACCGTTTCCTAAAATATTTGTAAAATCTTAAGTTAAGTCTGCTATTGTCATCGTCAGCACTTCTTACATGTTGTCGTATACTTATGGTTTTTACGGAGCATTAAAATTTATTTATGATTTCCGTTTGGCAAAAGAAGAATATCTAAACATCTATCTGGATTGTTTTGGTATTTTTTTAATCAATGTACCTGAAAATTTGTTTGTTGCAGTCTATATTAGCCAGTTTGATTTACAAAGGTGGTTTGTCTTAAGTTGTAAAAGTTTAACTAGGTACATGTCGAGTGAGTATACAGTATTTCAAACCTGATATAGGAAAAAAATAAATTTTGTGAAAAATACCCAAACTGAAAACAATTTTAATAAATTCCGTATTCTATATTCTAATAAGATTATCTTAAACTTATTTCAACTGACGAAAATGTTTTCTGCAAAGCATGTGGAAAAAAAGTATTTTACTTGCCGAGCGTAAGCTGAGGAAGTATAGTAATCGAGTCCATAAGACGAATGGTCACTCCCGTTTCCGACCGTCCGTCCGTCTGTCTGTCTGTCTGTCTGTCAGTCTGTCTGTCTGTCTGTCTGTCTGGTGTCATTTTTATTAGACACGTAATCTCCGTAACTGCTGGACCGATTGTTGTCAAATTTTGTATGCATATTAGAAATACCATGTAAATAGTTAAATGCTAACCAAAATTTTGCTAATCACCGAAAACAATTTGATGACGTCATTTCAAATAATTCTGTGTTTATTTGATTTAACTGTTATACAAAAATATAGTCCTATAAGTATGATGTTTTTCCCTAACCGTCCAAATTTTTGCAAAAACATAATGCACGGTATAATAACAGTTTACCATTAGTGTAAGGCATCCCGCTCGTGGTCTAGTCGTTACGAGTCAGGACTGCGGACTGGACGTCGCGCGTTCGATTCCAAACTTGGCCTTTCGTTTTTTTCATGCATTGTATATTATAGTTAGTATTTATTACTTCACTTTATTTAAAAATGTAAAACCTTCTCGGGGTCACAAATGTATTTTTAAAAATGTAAAACCTTCTCGGGGGCGCCAAATGTCTATTTTTTTATGGTAAAACCTTCTCGGGGGCGCCAAATGTCTTTTATTTAATGTGAAACCTTCTCGGGGGTCCCAACTGTCTTTTTAAAAATGTAAAACGTTCTCGGGGGCGCCAAAAGTCTGTTTTTTTAATGTAAAACCTTCTCGTGGGCGCCAAATATTTTTTTTTTTAACGTGAAACCTTCTTGGGGATCCCAAATGACTTTTTTAAAAATGTAAAACATTCTGGGAGACGCCAAATGTCTTTTTTTTAACGTGAAACCTCCTCGGGGGTCCCAATTGTCTTTTTTGAAAATGTAAAACCTTCTCGGGGGCGCCAAATGTTTTTTTTTTTGTTAGAATGTGAAACCTTCTCGGGGGTCCCAACTGTTTTTTTTTTAATGTAAAACCTTCTCGGGGGGGCAAATATTTATTTTTAGAATGTGAAACCTTCTCGGGGGCCCCAACTGTCTTTTTTAAAAATGTAAACGCTTCTCGGGGGTTCTAAAAGTATTTTAAAAAATGTAAAACCTTCTCGGGGGTTCCAAATGTCTTTTTTTAAGAATGTAAATCCTTCCCGGGGGCGCCAAATGCCTATTTTTTCAATATAAAACCTTCTCGGGGGCCTGAATGTATTTTTTAAGAAAGTGAAACCTTCTCAGAGGTCCCAGTTGTCTTTTTTGAAAACGTAAAACCTTCTCGGGGGCGCCAAATATTTTTTTTAGAATTTTAAACCTTCCCGGGGGTTCCAACTGTCTTTTTTGAAAATGTAAAACGTTTTCGAGGGCGCCAAATGTCTTTTTTTTTTTAATGAGAAACCTTCTCGGGGGTCCCAACTGTCTTTTTTAAAAATGTAAAACCTTCTCGGGGGCGCCAAATGTCTTTTTTAAAAATGTAAAACGTTTTCGGGGGCGCCAAATGTCTTTTTTTTAATGAGAAACCTTCTCGGGGGTCCCAACTGTCTTTTTTAAAAATGTAAAACCTTCTCGGGGACCCCAAATGTCTTTTTTTTAATGTGAAACCTTCTTGGAGGGTTCCAACTGTCTTTTTTAAAAATGTAAAACGTTTTCGGGGGCGCCAAATGTCCTTTTTTAATGAGAAACCTTCTCGGGGTCCCAACTGTCTTTTTTAAAAATGTAAAACCTTCTCGGGGGCGCCAAATGTCTTTTTTTTAATGTGAAACCTCCTCGGGGGTCCCAATTGTCTTTTGTACAAATGTACAACCTTCTCGGGGGCGCCAAATGTTTTTTTTTGTTAGAATGTGAAACCTTCTCGGGGGTCCCAACTGTTTTTTTTTTTTTAATGTAAAACCTTCTCGGGGGGGCAAATATTTATTTTTAGAATGTGAAACCTTCTCGGGGGCCCCAACTGTCTTTTTTAAAAATGTAAACTCTTCTCGGGGGTTTTAAAAGTATTTTAAAAAATGTAAAACCTTCTCGGGGGTCCCAAATGTCTTTTTTTAAGAATGTAAATCCTTCCCGGGGGCGCCAAATGCCTATTTTTTTAATGTAAAACCTTCTCGGGGGCCTCAAATGTATTTTTTAAGAATGTGAAACCTTTTCAGAGGTCCCAGTTGTCTTTTTTGAAAACGTAAAACCTTCTCGGGGGCGCCAAATGTTTTTTTTTAAGAATGTAAAACCTTCCCGGGGGCGCCAAATGCCTATTTTTTAATGTAAAATCTTCTCGGGGGCGCCAAATGTATTTTTCAAGAATGTGAAACCTTCTCAGAGGTCCCAGTTGTCTTTTTTGAAAATGAAAAACCTTTTCGGGGGCGCCAAATGTTTTTTTTTTGAATGTGAAACCTTCTCGGGAGTCCCAACTGTCTCTTTTAAAAATGTAAAACCTTCTCGGAGGCGCTAAATGTCTTATTTAAGAATGTGAAACCTTCTCGAGAGTCCCAACTGTCTTTTTAAAGAATTTGAAACCTTCTCGGGGACCCCAAATGTCTTTTTTTTAAGAATGTGAAACCTTCTCGGGGATACGAACTGTCTTTTTTTTTAATATTAAATTTTCTCAGGGCTCCCAACTGTCTTTTTTTAAGAAAGTGAAACCTTTTTTTCTTTTATTACACTGTGACTATTATCTTCTGTATTATTTATTCTGTATTACTCCCGAGAGGTTATCAAGAAAAAGTAAAATTCCGCAAAATTAAATTTTATCATTTTTTAGAAAAGCAGTATTTGTTAGACTGTACTTCAGAAGAGAGCGAAGTTCTGTCGAAATAACTTTCGACCATTTTTTTTTTTTTAATTTATACTGCATATTTTTTAATAAAAAATGTGCCCTGAATTGAATCTGTACAAATAATTAAACATTTTCAAATCAATACTTTGAGTATTTCAAGAGAAATAGGTGATTCTATAATATGTAATATATTTGGCAAAAATTGTGCATATTTCGAAAAAATTTTATGCATATAAATCCGCCTTTAAATTGATCACAATTAAAAATTGGTGATCCAAAGTTAACGATTTTTGTCGATTTTCTGCATACTTTTACTACAATTCCTACCAGCACTCAAACTGTTAAAATGTCATCTAGTTATCACTTTAAAATAAGTTTCAACACCACGATATTTATGTTGTTGTTTTTAACACGTTTTATTAAAAATACTTTGAGATATCCGTATATTTGTTTATAAAACACCATTTTGGCCAGATTTGCGTGTCATACAATATTCACTCACCTTTCAGAAGAAAAACTGTTTTCCGCGTACGACGTATTTTCACTTTCTTCGTGAATCTTCATAGTTATTGCCGGTCCAGTCTCTAAGGTAATCTCAGTTTCTAAAATCACATTATCGTCTTTCGTTTCAGTGGGTAAATGTATACGGTGCTCTTTACAAAGCTCCTGGAACTCTTGTACCTTTTCAGACCCAATCAAATTATTAAAACGTTCTATCCCAAGCTTACTCCTAGTTTTCACTAACGAACAAATGGAAGTCTCACGTAAAAATTCCTGATTCACACCCAAAAACAACTGTCGCATAAGAAAAACCAAAGTATCTTCGCCTATTTGATAATTCGAAAAATAAGGAACCGCCATTAGTAACCCTTGCATGAGGTGACTATCTTGTGGAACTACAGTCATCAGTTTCTTTAATACTTCGTTAGGATGAGGACTATTCTTCAGATAAATTCGCAGCACGTCCACCGTGCCTTTGCGAACGGACGGAGCAACGTGCGACAAATTCACTATTAAATCCGGAAGAAGAAACTCCATGTGTTTATCTAAGTGCGTTCGGTCTATCACGGGAATGAGATCCGCAAGAACTCTCAGAGCGTGCTGGCGGACTTCGCGCTCGAGGTTTCTTAGGCGATCTCGGAGGACAAAGAATAAGACTTTCGGGTCTAGATCATCTGCGGTGGTGGTAATTAGTTCGCGTGTTTACAATTGTTTGTGTTTACCTGGTAGACGTTTTGTGCGTACGATAATTTCCCACAACCATGTGAGCGAAATCGGGCCATCGAGATTGGCGGAGGGCACTCTCTCGACGAGGGAATCACTTCCTGAGGTGCTTTTGTAGTCGATCATTTCACCGGAGTTCGCGAGTTTTTTCAACACTAAGTCACTGACATGATGGTAGCGGGAAGAATGCGAGACCGTCACGTTTTGCTTGGTTATGGCAACCAACCCCGTTACAAACATTAACTTTCAGCTAGATATATTGATTGCGTTAAGCCAATGAAAGCGTCGTTCGCGCTTTTCTATTATAAACCATATTTGAAATTGAAGTTATTTTTAGTGATACTGCAAAGTCGGGTTCAATGATATGTGGTGAAATGATGAAAGGGTGTGGAATGACAAAGGTTTTTGTTAAAAAAAATTCTATAATGTCAGTATGGTACATATACACAATTCTATCACAATCTTAATAAACAAGTAGGGATTATTGCAAACCGTATACAACATTACCAAATATAAATCTTTTTACAGGGATAAAAACCTATGCGTATTCATATTACATAAATGTTATTAAACAGTAAGTATAGTTTACTACAAATATAATACTATAAACATGTGCACATTGGTCGTTTACTTTTTATTATCAACAACTTGAGCAGCTAGATCTGCGAATTTGGCGGTGTAATCCACGCTGGTTTCTATTAGTAAGGTGCGCAGTTGGGCATCAACCTGAAAAAAAATCTTGGTGAAATAATATTCATTCATAATAATTTTAGAAGCAATTTTAATCAAGCGCAATCACATTTTTTTTTGCTCTAAACTAAGTCCTAAAGTTCAAATTTTTTACGGATAATTAGTTCAACTATAATTGTTTTTCATTTTTCGAAAGAAGTCTAGGACAAAAAGACAAATAAACAGATTTTGAAATCTTCCTGAAAAAAAAATATATAAAAAGAGAGTAAAAAATTAATACTAACCAACTATGAGAGAACCTAATGTTTGTTTATAATTAGGAAGATGTTTTATATTAATTAGAATAGAAAATTAACGAGGTTGTTATATCTCCTTAAAAGATTTCTTCTTTTTTTTATGAAATATTACAAATTTCTTCCTTGAAAATCATTTACATAGTTGATAACAAGAGTTTCCAAGAAATCTTTTGGCTCAGATTACCAACATGTTTTTTGGAGGCAAATATTTGAATACATCATTTAAAAAAATAAACAAATATTGAATGAAACATAATTACATACTAACATGGAATTAAACTTTAAAATTTTCAAAGAAAGGGTGGAGTAGTACTGAAAAATTTTGATTTTGAAAATGTCTGAAAATCCACAAAAAATTCTGATATATAGATTTCGACGTGCTGATTCCAAAAATATGGCATTTTTATGGTACCGAGACAAGATTTTCCAAAAAACTGTCATTTCAATGGAAAAATGATAGGAGTTATCGAAGAACTGACGCCGAAAGTAACTTCTGGAGGTTGAAATGTCGAACTACACATACAGGAAAATGTCTTTGGATAAATTTCGAACTTTTTATAAGGAGGGGAGGTATTGAAAAATTATGGTTTTGAAAAAGTTGTCTAAAAATCCACAAAAAATTTTGGGGGATAGATTTCGACCTGCTGATTTCAAAAATATAGGTTTTTAAGGTCCAGAGGCAAAATTTTAGAAATACTCGGCCTGAAATGGATTTTTTTAATCCAAAAACTGTCACATTTCTATGAGCGTTTCTGGAAAAATGGTCGGAAATATCTAGAAAAATGGTAGGAAATATCGAAGAAACAAGGCCGAAAGGAACTTCTAGAGGTCGAAATGTGCAAGAAAATGTCTTGAATTAAATTTTGAAGTTTCGAAAAAGTTGTGTTAAAATCCACAAAAAATTCTGGGATCTAAATTTCAACGTGCTGATTCCAAAAATACATATGGCGGGGCAAGATTTTAGAAATATTCGATTTGAAATGTTTTTTTTTTAATCCAAAAAACTCATTTTTCAATGGGCGATTCTGGAAAAATGGTAGAAGTTATCGAAATACACATATAGGAAAATGTCGTTAGATAAATTTCGAAATTTTTATAAAGAGGGGCGGTATTGAAAAATTATGCTTTTGAAAAAGTTGTCTAAAAAATTTTTTTAATCCAAAAACTACCACATTTCTGTGGACGTTTCTGGAAAAATGGTAGGAGATATCGAAGAAACAAGGCCGACAAGAACTTCTAGAGGTCGAAATGTACAAGAAAATGTCTTTCCTAAACTTTGAAGGTGGTCTCAAAATTCCTAAATTTCCTAAAATATAGCGCTTTTTGGTGACGGAGCAAAATTTTAGAAATTTTCGGTTTGACATAATTTTTGTTTTTATAAATCTGAGATTCTGGAAAAATGATAGGAGTTATCGAAGAACTGACGCCGAAAGTAACTTCTAGAGGTTGAAATGTCAAAATACACAAACAGGAAAATGTCTTTAGATAAATTTCGAAATTTTTATAAAGAGGCGAGGTATTGAAAAATTATGGTTTTGAAAAAGTTGTCTAAAAGTCCACAAAAAATTTTGGGAGATAGATTTCGACCTGCTAATTTCAAAAATATAGGTTTTTAAGGTCCAGGGCCAAATTTTAGAAATACTCAATTTGAAATGGATTTTTTTTTTATCCAAAAACTGTCACACTTCTATGAGCGTTTCTGGAAAAATGGTAGGAAATATCTAGAAAAATAGTAGGAAATATCGAAAAAACAAGGTCGAAAGGAACTTCTAGAGGTCGAAATGTACAAGAAAATGTCTTTCCTATATTTCGAAGGTGTTTTCAAAATTTCTAAATTTTCTAATTTTATATTTTCCAAAAATCCAAAAAACTGTCTCATTTTAATGGACGATTCTGGAAAACTGGTACGAGTTATTGAAGAAATGGGCCCGAAAGTAACTTCTGGAGGTCGAAATGTACAAGAAAATGTCTTGAGTTAAATTTTGAAATTCGAAAAATTCCTAAATTTTCATGAGGATTTTGAAAAAATTTGGTTCAAAATAGTTGTATAAGAATCCACAAAAAATTCTGGGATATAAATTTCGATCTGTTGATTGCAAAAATATTGGTTTGTAAGGTCCAGGGGCAAGATTTTAGAAATACTCGGTTTGAAATGGATTTTTTTTTAATATAAAAACTGTCACATTTCTATGAGCGTTTCTAGAAAAATGGAAGGAGATATCTGGAAAAATGGTAGGAAATATCGAAGATACAAGGCCGAAAAGAACTTCTAGAGGTCGAAATGTACAAGAAAATGTTTTTCCTAATTTCAAAGGTAGTTACAAAATTCCTAAATTTTCTATTTTCCAAAAATCCAAAAAACTGTCACATTTCAATGGACGATTTTGGAAAAATGGTACGAGTTATTGAAGAAATAAGCCCGAAAGTAACTTCTGGAGGTCGAAATGTACAAGAAAATGTCTCGAGTTAAATTTTGAAGTTCGAAAAATTCCTAAATTTTCATGAGAATTTTGAAAAAATTTTGTTTTGAAAAAGTTGTGTAAAAATCCACAAAAAATTCTGGGATATAAATTTCAACGTGGTGATTCCGAAAATATATGAAATGCAATTTTTTTTTAATCCAAAACTCATTTTTCAATGGGCGATTCTGGAAAAATGGTAGAAGTTATCGAAATACACAGAGAGGAAAATGTCTTTAGATAAATTTCGAAATTTCTATGAGGGGAGGTATTGAAAAATTATGGCTTTGAAAAAGTTGTCTAAAAATTTTTTTTAATCCAAAAACTGACACATTTATATTGGCGTTTATGGAAAAATGTTAGGAGATATCGAAGAAACAAGACCGAAAAGAACTTTTAGAGGTCGAAATGTACAAGAAAATGTCTTTCCTAAATTTCGATGGTGGTCTCAAAATTCCTAAATTTTCTAATTTTCTTTTTTCCAAAAATCCAAAAAATGTCTTTCTTAAATTTCAAAGGTGGTCTCAAATTTCCTAAATTTTCTAATTTTCCATTTTCCAAAAATCCAAAAAAACTGTTAATGGACGATTCTGGAAAAATGGTACCAGTTATTGAAGAAATGAGCCCGAAAGTAACTGCTGGAGGTCGAAATGTACAAGAAAATGTCTTCAGTTAAATTTTGAAATTCGAAAAATTCCTGAAGTTTCATGAAGATTTTGAAAAAAATTGGTTTTGAAAAAGTTGTGTAAAAATTCAGAAAATATTCTGCGATATAAATTTAAATAACGTTTTTATGGTTTTTAGAAATATTCGATTTAAAATGCAATTTTCTTTTAATCTAAAAAACTCATTTTTCAATGGGCGATTCTGGAAAAATGATAGAAGTTATCGAAATATACATACAGGAAAATGTCTTCAGATGAATTTCGAAAAATTTATATGGAGCGGAGGTATTGAAAAATTGTGGTTTTGCAAACGTTATCTAAAAATCTACAAAAAATTCTGGGAAAAAGATTTCGACCTGCTCATTTCAAAAATATAGATTTTTATGGTCCAGGGGTAAGATTTTAGAAACACTCCGTTTCAAATGGATTTTTTTTAATCCAAAAACTTTCACATTTCTATGAGAGTTTCTGGAAAAATAGTAAGAGATATCTGGAAAAATTGTAGGAAATATCGAAGAAACAAGACCGACAGCAACTTCTAGAGGTCGAAATGTACAAGAAAATGTCTTTCCTAATTTTCAAAGGTGTCTCAAATTTCCTAAATTTTCTAATTTTCTATTTTCCAAAAATCCAAAAAACTGTTACATTTCAATGGACGATTTTGGAAAAATGGTACGAGTTATTGAAGATATGAGCCCGAAAGTAATTTCTGTAGGTCGAAATGTACAAGAAAATGTCTTGAGTTAAATTTTGAAGTTCGAAAAATTCCTAAATTTTCATGAGGATTGTGAAAAAATTTGGTTTTGAAAAAGTTGTGTAAAAATTTATAAAAAAATCTGGGATATAAATTTCAACGTGCTGATTCCAAAAATACATATGACGTTTTTATGGTCCCGGAGCAAGATTTTAGAAATATTCGATTTGAAATGCATTTTTTTTTAATCCAAAAAACTCATTTTTCAATGGGCGATTCTGGAAAAATGATAGAAGTTATCGAAATACACATACAGGAAAATGTCTTCAGATAAATTTCGAAAAATTTATATGGAGCGGAGGTATTGAAAAATTGTGGTTTTGAAAACGTTATCTAAAAATCCACAAAAAATTCTGGGAAAAAGATTTCGACCTGCTCATTTCAAAAATATAGATTTTTATGGTCCAGGGGCAAAATTTTAGAAACACTCCGTTTCAAATGGATTTTTTTTAATCCAAAAACTTTCACATTTCTATGAGCGTTTCTGGAAAAATAGTAAGAGATATCTGGAAAAATTGTAGGAAATATGGAAGAAATAATACCGACAGAAACTTCTAGAGGTCGAAATGTACAAGAAAATATCTTTCCTAATTTTCAAAGGTGTCTCAAATTTCCTAAATTTTCTAATTTTCTATTTTCCAAAAATCCAAAAAACCGTTATATTTCAATGGACGCTTCTGGAAAAATGGTACGAGTTATTGAAGAAATGAGCCCGAACGTAATTTTTGTAGGTCGAAATGTACAAGAAAATGTCTTGAATTAAATTTTGAAGTTCGAAAAATTCCTAAATTTTCATGAGGATTTTGAAAAAATTTAGTTTTGAAAAAGTTGTGTAAAAATCTATAAAAAAATCTAAAATATAAATTTCAATGTGCTGATTCCAAAAATACATATGACGTTTTTATGGTCCCGGAGCAAGATTTTAGAAATATTCGATTTGAAATGCATTTTTTTTTTTAATCCAAAAAACTCATTTTTCAATGGGCGATTCTGGAAAATGGTAGAAGTTACCGAAATACACATCCAGGAAAATATTTTTAGATAAATTTCGAAATTTTTATAAGGAGCGGAGATAAAAACTGTCACATTTCAATGGACGATTCTGGAAAAATAGTACGAGTTATGGAAGAAATGAGCCCGAAAGTAACTTCTGGAGGTCGAAATATACAAGAAAGATGCTTGAAAAATTGCGAAATTTTTATATTGAAAAATTTTAATTTTTGAAAAAGTTGTCTAAAAATCCTCAAAAAATTCTAGGATGTAGATTTAGACGTGCTGATTCCAAAAATATAGCGTTTTCATGATCCCGAAGCAAGATTTCAGAAATATTCGGTTCGAAATGATTTTTTTTAATCCAAAAAAAAAAAACATATTCTTCAGTGGGCGATTCCATAAAAATGATACGACTTATAGAAGAAATGAGATCGAAGTGTATGGTTAATTTTTCTTTTTTTTTTATTTCAAAAGATTCTTAATTGTACAATTATATTTGACTGATTATTTGGTCCTTTTTGTCAAAGCATAGAAGCATTTTAGTTACAGCGGAAAATTCAAAATTCCATTTACCGATAAACAAACTATACATAAAATGGATGATCAAAAAATTCCCCATCCCATGGGAAAACAGACTCTTTCATTACAAAATTCTTTGTACAAAATCTATTACCTATTAAAACAATTTGCCTTGTAAATGAGGAAAAATTAAATAAGCGACAAATAAAAAGTTGTGTCAAAAAACAAAATAATTCATCGCGTCATTAATTTTTTGAAAAGGACGAATAAATAAATTTTGGTTAAGGTAATGTAATCAAAACTTCAAAGAATTTTTTGTGTAAGCTCCGACATAAACTGCTAATTGCTAAGGTCCAATTTTATTTTTTTTTTTTTTTTGAACATAATTAATAAAATAAGTGTATTTTGGAAAGAACGACTGATTAGCTATTAACATAATCTTGCATTTTCGTATCTTGTGAGCTGTAAAAAGGCAAGCAACAATCGAAATTCGACAATCGTTCAGGAAACAGCAATTGTGACAACTGTAACATACGCAAATATGAATGTCCGCAGATTTTTGATAACATTTTATAGTTTTATTTTATTATTTCTGACACGAATTAACTTCTTTGTAGATTTTCACAAGGAAGTAATTTACATCTTTTACTTTTTTTGCAAACTTCTTACAGGAATAAATTGTGTCTACTCCCTTTTATAGTTAGTTATCACGACATACGTTGAGGAGAATATGTTATTCTGAAATAGAAATACGATTTCACATATGATGCAAAATAAATAAATCAAATTTTGATAAAAATGAATTTATTTTCACTAATTTAAGCAACAATAGCTTCTCTATCGAAATGGTGAGCAAACGTGAAATTAAACTGAAAATGTACAAATTTTGCAAGGTTTGGAAATTTAACCCTGCAAATCAATACGATTTTTAACCCAATTTTCTTTAGTACAGCAACAGGTAGTGTTCGTGCGTAAGGTCTATTTCACCTGACACTGAGTCTTTTACACAAAAAAAAAAGTTGTGAAGTGAAATTTTTTTGCATAAAAATAAAGTTGGCCATCAGTACACATTTTAAAGTTACTAATTAAGAACTTTAATAAGTTATAAATTTTCTTGTGAATTCAATTTTGGGGCATTGTATTGAATGATAGGAAATAATTGGGACTGACTTTTGGCTTACTTTAATAGTAAAACAAATACTGCTAGCGCCATCTCTCGATAATTTATAAAAGGCGGACACACACATATCAAGATTGTAGTGTTGCCACTACACTATGATTAGAAAACGTAGTGAATAATTCCCAGGGAAAAAGTATCTCCTACTTCCTAAGAATGTCATGTAACTGTATTGTGGGTTGCCTGCATTTTTATCTTATCATATCGTGACTAGTCAGCTAAGTTTTAATGTATTTCAACTTTGTTAATTTTTTTTACAAATAATAATTATCAATACTCACTGATAAATGCATACTTACATCCTGAGAAAGTTGTGACATTTGAGTGTCCTCATTTTTCGTAGGACAATCCAAGTGTCCAAGTAAACTACTCAATGAATAGTCCGCTACATCAGAATTAATCCATTGATTTTCATTCTCTTTCAAAATTTTTGATATTCCTGATAAATTAGAACTTGGATTATCATCCAAAAACCCTAAAATCCATTTTTTAAATTCAAAAAAACCTAATAAACAACATTTACCGCTAAAACTTTTCTCAGAAACGCAAGTATCCTCCACTACCTTACCAGTATCAACCTTAGTATCGCCCCGTAAAAGAGATGGAAGCCCGGAATTGTTTGATGTGTCGTCAGAGTTACCCTTATTGTTTAACTCTACGCTTGGCGTATTATCCTGAGATACAATATTCATAGTCACGATTTGATGCTTACTTTCCGACTTATTAGGAACTAATTTACGTTCCACCACTAGCTGCTTATACCTACTTCTACCTCTAGCCCGATTTAGCTTGTTAATACTCTACAACAACAACAACATTAATCCGTCTTCAAATACAACCATTTTAATTACATCACGCTGGTTCATAAACTGTACAACCGAATTTGTTGTTGCAAGGAAATGTCGATCTTCCTCGAAATCGTCATTTGGTTGTTCTTTTACAACTGGTGGTGGATTCGCGTTTGTGTTCTCGAGTTTTTCTTCAACGGCAGTTTTCTGAAATATCACCGTTAATTTACGTTAAGTCACACTTCTGAAAATTACTTCATGAACCACTGGAGTTTTCTTAACCACTTTTGTAGTCGCCGGTTTTTTAAATTGTGGAGTACTTTTACTACTAGTAGTAGCACTAGTAGTGTTAACACCACAAACGTGTCCACACGAACACTTCACCACAGGTTTAGTAGAATGAAGTTTGGCCAAAGACAGCAACTTCTTCAAGGAATTCGTGAGATCGTTTTCTTTTTTGGGTGAATTCGTGAGATCGTTTTCTTTCTTCATCGAAATTTTGACACTGTTTTCTTTCTTGATTGAAATTTTACAGTCCTCGGTTATTTCGTCGTCTTGTGATTTAACCTTCAACGGGTCCCAGTTGTACTCAAGAACCAATCTCGAGTCGACGCCGAACTGAAATGACACAATTAGTGAACTAGAATTTATTTTTTTAAGGTAATTGCCATTAAGTAAAGCTCTCCTATTGTCAAACTCCCGCACGTTTCCACCGTCCACCCCTCTCTAATTTGACTTATTCTTGCCTTCTTCTCTTCTAAAGGTACATCTTTGGGATTGACTTTAACTATATTGTTTTTACTGTCGTTTTTACTATCAATTTTAGTGTGCGTCTCTTGCAGTGATAAAATCGTGTTCACTGCTTCGTTTACGGATTTATTCACTGACGTTTTCGCACTTTCGCCACTAATGATTTCATCATTAGTTGGTTTGGTTGGGGATTTTTCGGTTTTTATGTCGGGTTCTTCTTTTTTTATTTCTTCTGCAAACACACTATAAAGCAAAAATAGCGATTTTGGGGAGTCTAACCTTGAGTTCTAACACCTTTCCTCATCTCAAAAGCGCGTAAAGAGATACTTTGACCTGTAAAATATTCACTTATATCTATTGAAGGCAATTCCACGTGAGCATCTGGTGGAGGTGATAATCTTAATAGAGGGTTTAATAATAAGGAATTTTCATCAATTACTTTTTGCTCAGGTACACGATCCTTTGTAATAGGGTTGGTTGAAATCACAGCTTTATCATACTAAAGACGAAATTAAGGAAAACTTTGAAACGAAAAAATTAACATTAATGGTAATAGTAAGGATACTACAACGGCTTCTGAGCTCTTCCACCTAGTGTTCATGCATGTGATGAGTGAGCTAAGCCGCTTCTGTAGCGCCAGTGCTACTTTGATACGCGGATTCTGCGCTATGCTTTGAACTTTTAAAAAAGACACCATGTCTTTGGGTCTTAGCTCAACCAAAACCCTCGTGGGGAGTTTCAAATCGTCATACTTTTCTAAATCAGAATTAGTGATTTTGAGATTTCTCCCAAAAGCAAGACTTACCATCCAACTGATTTAATCTTCTCAGTGCTCTACACATTGGCGTTTTCACTTTAATCATTTTACCTTTCACTCTTAACGCGATATAACCATTGTTTATGAGCTCACCTACCCTACTCATACATTTTTTTGACACGGATCCAACTTTTTTCCTCAGTTCACCATAATTAATCAAAGTGTACAGTTCTTGCACATTTTTTGGAACTTCTATAACAATCAAATGAGTGACAATAAAACCAAAACAAACACGTACTTTCGTTGAATTTTAAGTTACCACTCAACATGTGAAACGTTTTGTAATAAAAATGTCTGATTTGTGGCTTTGTTTTAAGCTGATCGTCCGGAATACCCTTCTTTTTTAACCTCGTGCATATATAAGAATGGATACTTTCAAAATCCTTCCCAAACTCATTCAAAGCCTCAAAGAACATTTTTTTCTCTTCAGAAATCCACAGAGTACTGACGTATTTTTTAACCTCGGGTTTGACCTCCTCTGGTTTCACTTCTTCTTTCTTTTCTGTGTGGGAAATGATGTAAAAAGGAAACAAAGAGTCCAAGACTAACCTTTACTCTTTTCAAGAGCAGCGCTTACAGAAAGGTCGAATTTCATTTTTTTAAAAACGCGGGCGCTGGTTCGGAGTTGCTGCGGTTTGCCATCAGTGTTATCAATCTCATTGTAAGACACTGAACCTAGCAAGGTATCAATTGGACCTATTTGGGCAAGGAAGTCTTTACAATTGGGCAGATCGTGAGTCCCATTTTCAGTCATTTTTACAGCTGCAGATTCTGTTAATGAAGAACAAAGACAATGTGTGTTTAAAGAATTGAAACAACACAAGATAAATGGTTTTATATCTTATCGACTACACCACAGCAGTGTTTGTGTCTTGGTTTTGAAACGTGAGATAGTCATCTGGTGACTGGATATTTACAAACTTAATACAAGCAAGAGGAATATTTGAAACCAACTTCTGAAAATAGAATTCAATTTATTGTAGATTTTTCTAGAAAAATTGTTGTCACTTAAATGGTACTACAGTTACAGAGATAAAGAAAATTGCTGCAGGACACCGTCAGTGGAATCAAAGTTTACACACAAGAAACACCATTTCACAAGGAATTTACACCAAAAATTGTCCATTTTTCCAGAATAAACAAAATAATCTCTGAATACAAGTGTAAGCAAATTAGGTGTTGTTCTCCTCAAACCACAACAAATTCATGCTTAATTCATAAACCTGATGATTTTCCACTGAACTGTGTGAACAATTACTCCAAACAAACACTATAAATCTTAACAAACCACCGTGAACCCTGTGTAAAAGTGTACAAACAAGAAGTCAACAACTTAACCTCAAATCTGTTGGTGACCAAGAAACAACAAGCATATTTTCTATCTAGACTGATTAATGAATAAGCAAACCTTTTTATGACAATAAATGTGCTTTTCGTTATTTTATTGTTTGGTTACAAGAGACTTTTACCACAATCCAAGAACACAAACTCAGTCCATTGCACTCCACTTCACATAACTGTTTTGATCTCCTGCCAGTGGTGGAGTCAGCAGTAGAATTTTGCGCTGTAAAAGGATATTTCTTGAGGATCTGGAAGCGGTGAAGAGTGAAGATATAGCTGTTAGAAACCTCTGCAAGAAGTGAAGACGCCAAAAATGCAGTTTTGGATGGAGTTTTCTCATGACAACAGAAATAAATTTTGAAAATGTGTAGTATTTGATGGAGATAAGGTTGTTGAGCTATATTTTAGAAAGTCTGTTTTTAAGTTCTAAATTTCATAAATTGAACATGTATTTGTTGTATTTAGTATAAAATGTTCAAAAACTATAGTTAGTTCTACTCGAAGTCGCCACTCATAATCTCTTAAGTGAAATTTTAGATTATCTGCAAACTTTGATCCGATAATTGTGCCAAAAAATGTTATCTAAATAAATACTAAACTACTAAAGTAACCATATGTTTTGGTTTATTTTGTTTAACCTTGTTCGATTATTTCTGCCTTTAGTAGGTGTGAAAATACCACCAGATGCACATTTGCTTTTTTTTGGTAAATTTAAAAACTCTTATTAGTTATTTAGTTTCAAGAACAAACTATTACTTTTTCTTGATGAAAAAAGGTAATTAATTACTTGGAACCCTTAATTATAAAAATGTGTTATAACACTTTGAAAAGTTTTTCAATATTTTTTGGCATATTTCGAAGTTTTGTCCGTTTTCTTTTCAATTCTCAAATGAAATATCCTGATACAATGAAATATAAGTGAGGTAAATGTGTAGAAACCTTAGAGTAGAAACCCAAATTTCTTAAGATAAAGCAAAGTAAGTACTGCATTAACTTAAAAAACAATAAATTTGAAAAATACAGTAAAACATTTTCCCACTTTTTTCTTCGCAGGCTGAACAAAACCTACAATTTTTCAATAGAATCATTCCAATGTGACTCTTTCTAATTTTCACTGGGATCACAAAAAGTTCTTCAAGATTTCTAAACTTAATTTTTCTAATGGACGAATTTATTTGAAATTTCTTTGTCCACATTCACAAAATTTTTGTACAATAGAGTACTGTATATTTTTCATGAGTACAAGAGTTTGTAGCACGAGCCAACAACGCATGCTTCAATTTATAACAGCGAGAAATTACTACAACTCACTACGCCACCACATTTTATTGGTTTATACTATTGTTACATATTATGTATTTTTTCTAATAAAATAACACACAGTAAATATCTATCGCAGGAAAACTTTAGCGAATGTTTAGAGCGTATCTATTATCTGTTTTTCAAATGAAAATTATCACAATTAACTCTGGAAACTATGTTTTCAAAAATTTCCAAGAATATCAAGTTTAATTTAACTTTTTTTTCAACAAATAACTCAAAATTTGTACCTCTGGTTTTACATTTCTGCAGTGTTAATTTTTAAAAACAAATAGTATTTCCATTTTTTATTATTTCATTTTTATTTCTGTTGTCTTTATTACTTGTCAATAAATATCATATTTAATAATGTCCTCATAAAAATAACGCAATTAAGAAATAAAATGAATCAATGTTTCGGTCTACTCGACATCAAAATTAATAAATATTAATTTTCGTCCTTTTTATACCGTGTGATTTATTCAATTTCTGCTCTAGTTGGTCCTGATGCCTTTGTTAGCAGTGCAGTTGAAATGGCCAACTAGAGAAGAAACTTAAAAAATAACTCTAAACATAATGGTACTCTTTTATATCTTGAAAAGCAACCTTTTTACCATACCAATTATTAAACTTAAAAACTTCAAAATTTTCGATAAATTATACACAAATTGTACAGTTCTGTGTATAGTAAAAACTAGGAATTAGTGAATATAGACTTTGACTAAAGTGTTTATTAGAAGTAGTTTTTTACAACTTTTAGGTTGCTTGTCCAAAAGATCAAGGCTTTTGCGAATCGGACGCCTTTGACCATTAAATATTATAATAACAATAAGTCGGCAAGCAGTCGGTTCCAATAAACATTTTTGGAAACAGAAAATCAATGATGCCACTCATTCCTGGGCTCAACTATATCAAATATTAATCCTATGTCAAACATACATATAACGCTAGTTCTTATACTTTAATGAAATTTTATTTCTTCTAATTTAAAATTTATCACCGTTAATTTTCTAAAGTAAGTGGGGGAATTGTCCTGGATTTAATACCCAATGTTTTAGTCATCTAAAAAAAAAAATACATCTATTGTTTGTTTCGAATGGAAGGATTACATAAATTTGGGTTATTCATAAACTGGATGTAGGTACAAATTACGGAAAACGTGTATTTTCGTGTTCAACGAATTATGAAACATCAAGAAAATATGAAATTAGATACACGTCAAACAGTTTTTCGCTTAACTATAGGTCAGAAATTGAAAACAACAATTCAGAATAAAATGATAATAAGGACAAGGAATAAAGATGATGACGTGTTTATGATTTCTGTCAATTTATCATGTGAAGAATTACTTTGTGGATCTTCATTATTTAGTTAATTATTTGGCGTTTCCATTAAATCAATCTTAAGAATTTATCTACCTACGCCACTGCATAAAGATTGTGCGCGTTGACAGTTTGAAAATAATTCCTTGTAATTTTGGAAAATTGTATTTCGTCATTAAAATGTGAAGTGACCTGATATTTAATTAAAACCAAACTTAATCTATATAATGCCTGTACTGATCATCTATCAATCTACATAGTAAAATTTAAAATGACATTCCACAGTTTCAAGTTCAAGTGGCATTTTTTTTTAATTTATTTTTTATTTTAAAGTTTTATCTCTCAAAGAAAGTTTTAGTAAAAACTAAAAATTAAGCGCAGTTAATAGAATTAATTTTATTGTTTTCATAGTGGAAAATAAATATCCTTATAACAGTCTTGTGAGAAAAATAAAAGAGATTAACTTTATTTTCAAATATTTCTAGAACCAGTTTATAACAGCCGATACAAAACTAATGTCGTTTTGAAATAAATAATAAATAACGCAAAAACAAAAGCAAAAACATGGAAAACTGTTGCCATATGTTTATTTATATACACGTGACACATTGAACTACTAAATATGATGACAGACAATTTGTAATTAGGCTGACGACAGATTTCTGTTTTTAATAGTGCTATTTGCATTATTAGGAATGTAAATAACAAAGGTCGTTTATAGGTCCCCAATGATACCTAAAGTAATGCACTAATCTATATACAAAATGTCTTTTACTGTGATGTACGACTGTCAGGGTTTTCCCGATTTTAATAAATCTGTTTCCCGGTTTTGCAGAAAGCGCACAAAATTAAATAATTACATTACAAGCTAATCTTTGGCATGAAATTTGAAATGAAAGTGAACGCCTATTATGAAAACATAACAAATGTCTTTAGTAAGCTATTTCTTGAAAAGTGTAAAAATATTTGACAAAAATTCGGTTTTACAATATGAGTATAACAATATAATATGGAAAATTTTTGGAAAACAATTGTCACAGCAAGAACAAGATAAACTTAATCTAGTAGAACAAAGCATAACAATCCCAACTCATTTTGTGTTTACGAACAACTTAAACACGCTGATTTGCACTAATTAATAATCAATTTTTGACTTTTGTTTACAAGTCACTGAACAATTCACTTGTGTATAGCGTGTTGCATACACACCAAGCGGACGTTGCGGAAACTTGTGAAACGGACATTACTTCCAATTCCGCGATTATTCCGGTGTGAACGACTCCTAACTATTTACCTGTCACCTGTCACTGATGTCAACAGACGTCAAGACTTGACAGTGTCTCTAAATTACAAAAAGGAAGTTTTAATCAGATAAAACGTGTCAACAATAGGTCACGCAAACGTAGATAAATATAAATAAAGCCACTTGATAACACTATTATGGAATTAATAAAAACACCGAAGGTAAATAAGTGAAAATCTAAAATACAGCACACCCAATCCAGCCTCACTGCACGTTTTTCCAATTCTAGGTCGAAAATGTTCGAATGTTGGACAGATTCTCGAAAACACCGTCACTCGGAACACTGTATCTTACAGCAACGCATCTTATCTTTGTTGATCCGGACGCCAAAAAAGAAACATGGGTAAGTTATAAATTCAACAGTTTTTGAGAGTGAATATTTTCTGTCGTAGATTCTCCACATGCATATTGCCAATGTAGAAAAACTTACGTTGACCACAACTGGGTCACCACTTTTAATTCGCACGAAAACATTTCTGTCAGTGACTTTTGTTATTCCAAAGGAAAGAGACTGCCACGACATTTATATCACATTGCAGCAACTGTCACAACCTAGTAGTATTGAAGAACTGTATTGTTTCACTTATACATCACCAGTTGAGGAAATTGCCAAGCCGACAGGGTGGGATTTTTTTAGTCTCCAAGCTGAGTATGAAAGACAGGGTGTTCCTAATGAACAGTGGTGTTTAACCAAACTAAATTCAGACTATGATGTAAGTGTATGGGGTTGTTTTTTGTTAAAAGTGATAGTGGGTTTTTAGCTTTGCGAAACCTACCCAAAATATCTCATTGTACCTGCTTCTGCAAACATCACAACCCTTATGGGAAGTTCCAAATTTCGCTCAAAAGGGCGGCTACCGGTGCTGGCATATTTGCATAATAATAAAGCTAGTATTAGCCGCTGCAGCCAGCCCTTGTCTGGTTTTAGCGCAAGGTGTCTCGAAGACGAGAAAATGCTAAATCATGTGTTGAGAACCAACCCCAACTCCAACTTTATGTATGTTGTAGACACCAGACCAAAGGTAATTTTGTACTGATATTTGAAAATATTAATCAAAAATTAACACAGTTCATTTAAAAAATACATATGACGTCACAATTAATTTTGTAGATTAATGCTATGGCCAACAGGGCGGCAGGAAAAGGCTACGAAAACGAAGCCTTTTACGAAAATATAAAATTCCAATTCCTGGGCGTGGAAAACATTCACGTGATGCGAAACAGCTTAACCAAAGTCATTGAAAGTATGCTACTTAAATAGAATGTAACCGCGAAATTGCACAACGATTTTTTCCAGCTTGTGAGCAGAAAAACCCAACAATGAACAGCTTTTTAAGCGGATTGGAATCCAGTGGTTGGCTTCGGCATATCAAATCAATTTTGGACACTTCATGGTTCATTGCTCAAGCAGTTGACGACGGAATTAATGTGGTTGTGCATTGTTCAGATGGCTGGGACCGAACAGCACAAGTTTGTTTTTTAGCCGCGTTGTTACTGGATCCGTTTTATAGAACTATAAGTGGTTTTCAAGTATGATAATTTAATTTTCGGTATTTTTTTTAAAGAGATATTTCACAGGCGCTAATTGAGAAAGACTGGTTAGCTTTTGGTCACAAATTTTCTGAACGTTGTGGCCATATACAGGGCGATAGTAAAGAAATATCGCCGGTTTTCACCCAACTTTTGGACTGTACGTGGCAATTGATGCAACAATTCCCTTCCGCGTTTCAATTTAATGAGAAATTTTTACTGACGTTGCATGACCACGTCCATTCTTGCCAATTCGGGACTTTTATCGGGAATAGTGAGAAAGAAAAGATTGATTTGAGATTAGCTGAAAGGACTTATTCTTTGTGGGGATATATGGCCACATATTTAAATGAGTATGAAAACCCTCTCTATGATGCTAGTGAATTTTCAGGTGTACTAATCCCTGTGTTAGCTCCACAGAATATCACGTAACAACGTAATGAAACTTGTCACACAAATTACTACATTATTATTTTAGGTTTTGGAGGGGAATGTACTGTAGATTTGAATCAGGTGTTCACCCCAGGGAACCCCAGACTGACTTGCTTCTCGCCACTGTCAACCACACGCATTCCCTTGATGACCACATCAAATATTTATCCAAAGTAATTAAAACTTTACCCTCGCACTACTCAAAATATTAAGCAGTTGGAATTCCAGAGGGATTCTTTTAACGGGCGCACTTTTTTTCAGAGGATATCTTCAATGAAGTCGTTCATCGCCAAAGCCGTTGAAAACAAGTTCAACAAAATGAACGACAGTCGTAGCAGAGCTACGCCTACAGACAATCGTTATTACTACGAAAAAACGCGCGAATTGGAGGCTTCAGACCACGATCATCCTCTGAAGGTGTCCACAGCGCCAAAACCAGAGGAGTTATCGCCGTCTCTAAGCTCCCAAAATTTGTCCAAAGATCTAGAATCAGTGGCTCTCGATTGGAAGAGTCTGCGCAATACTCACGAGTGCATTTGTTCGTCGTATTTTGACCAGTTGAGTAAGAAGACCCATTGTAGAAGATGCGGAAACATATTTTGTATGAGGTGTATAACAAAAAAGACTTTTCTTCCAGGACATTTGGAGCAGAATAATGTTTCAGTATGTAAGCCTTGTTATGAAATGCTAGTCAATTCGACGGAAACATCAGATTAATATATTCCTGAAAATTGTTACTACATATTATGAATTATTTATTTTTTTATTTGACGCATAGTATAATATTGAGCTTATTAAAACCCAGCACTGGGTGTGAATATTCAGTTTGAATAAATTTTGTTATTTACAGGAAACACTAGTTTATATTACACTTGTAAAATTTTTGCCTCCTTTTTTTCAAATTAATGTCACAATGACGTTCCCCCACTCCACGAAAGCAACAACCGCGCATGCGCAGCCTTTGTCAATGACTGATGAAAATGTCAAAATCCCAGATTTTTCCGACTTGTGTGATTCGGTTGTGTTTTTCTAATTAAATTAATTTATAATTCCCCATCATTTAATTAATTTATTCTAGTCATGTAACAGAAACCACAAAAACGTTGTGTCCTAGTAGTTGTAGTAGTAGAATAAAGTGAAATAAAATGGTTTCTATTATAAAAAACCAACTGTTGAAACACCTCTCTAGGTAAATTTTTGAGCGCAGAATAAATGTTTCATAGACACTCATCCCGTTGTATGTTTTATAGGTTTACAAAAAATTTATCGGCTGACAAAATCAACCTGAGTACGTTTAAAGGAGAAGGCGAGCTTTCCAACTTGGAACTGAATGAAATTGTTTTGACTGACTTGCTGGAACTGCCTTCTTGGTTGCGTTTGACGAAAGCGTGGTGCAATAAAGTGTCGTTTAGAATACCGTGGACGAAATTAAAGAGTGTTCCTATTCATTTGGTACTTGATTATTGTAACAAAGAACAACGATTTAACCCCTAGTTACAGAGTTTGGATGAAGTTAACATAACTGTGGAAACATGTGAGGAATTACGATCAATGTCCGCACAAGGGGGCCTATCGTCGTACGCCATACCAGGAAAGTACAGTTTTATTCATAAAGTCATTGATGGCATTACTGTCACAGTCAATACGGTCAACATACTATTCAACAGTCCAGCTTTCACAGCTAGTGTCCAGGTACCCCCTCAAACTTGTCTAAACAAATCTAACTTTTGCTTCCAGCTGTCGCGCATAGTAGTTGAATCAAAAACCCCAAAGTGGGGCAAATCTGACTTACGAATGACAAGACTTAAAGACGCGGAAAAAGGACAACTATTGATTTTTAAAGAGCTTGAATGGCAGACTGTGAGAATTGAGGCCAAATCAACCATTGACAAAAACCTAACGCCTTTGCGTCTGCTAACAAACCAGGCCAGATGCCGCATTGTAATCAAAAAGAGACTATCAGACTGTTTCATAATGGGGTCCCGCTTGGTTATAATCCTGGATGATCTCCTCTGGGTCCTCACTGACTCCCAACTCAAAGCAGCCTTACATTTTCTTGATTCTTTAGCTGGTCTTGTCCAGAAAGCCACCCAAATCACTAGGAAGGCGAAAGCGGCGAGAAAACTTGAAGAATTTCCGGAATACCAAGCCCAACAAGCTCAGGAAGCGAGATCAAAAAGCGGAACGGCGAATAAGCCTAGCATTTTCACGTTCTATGATGTGGTTGAGACTTCTTATCATTTTCTTTCAAATCAAATTGTGCTGCACTTGTGTGATGATCCAGGGACTGGGAGATCCACCCATCCTAATCTTAAAGATGGAGGGGCTTTACAGATTGCAGTTAGGAGGTTCCAGATTGATTTTTATCCTTATCATTTAGCCAAAGGGAATAGGAAACATTGGCCAAAGTATAATGACGTGGCGGTGCCACATACCATGTGGCAAGAACAGGCGTTAATGAGTTTCAGAACCAAGTTCTTTGATTTGATTGACCGCAGCAAGATTCAACACACACCATTGTCAAGGTCGTCCAAAGTTAGTCTAAGATTTAATAATATTCCAATTTATGAATGTGTATATAATTGAAGGTTTTTAATTATGGTGATGATAGTCCTCAAGTTGTAGCTTATAAAGCGGGGAAAAGCCCCAATCTCAAGAGACAAGAGGGTGGTGAGGTAATTCATTGAACTTTTGTTATTATTATTATCATTATACTACATTTAAATATAGGGAATATATCCTGAGATGGGCCACTATGTTTATTCAAAGGACAATATTTTTGACCAAAAGCAGGCCCAGCCAGGGTTGTCCCCACGAACAACCCCCAGCCAGTCTCCAAATCTCGACCAGAAGAAACCAGTGAGTCCTAATCAAAAAGAAGTGAAACGGCGAATTGAAATGCAGTTGAATAAATTAATGACGACTTGCGTTATCATGAGAATTGAAGACTTCACTCTGTATAAAGTTACCACGTCCGGGAAAAAACAAGCCCTTAAAGAGTTTGTGGCCGGTAAGTCAAAAAAATTACTAACGGTCTTAAATAAAATTAATTTTCTTCACTAGCTCAGCATAAAAGGAAAGATAAGAATGCGGCTGCAGGTACTAAAATGTCATTTTTTTAAACCTAGAGCAGTTTGTTTTGTTCTTTTGATTTTTTATGACTTGCTATTTTATTCATTTTTACAATGGGGTTATTTTTTTATAGGCGATCGTGACCACATGTCGTTACCAAAAGACGCAAGTATTGTCCATGCAGAGTTCATATATTATTACTATCCAAGCGACGTGCCATTTCCTTGTAAGTATATTATTTATTTTATGGTCCTGCGTTGTTAATTTTTGTATTAAATTTATGACAACGTAAAAGTGAAACAATAAAAAAATTATTTCTGATTAGAGCGCACTGAATCTGAGTGTTTTTCTTATATTTGGGGTTATATTCACGAAAGAATGAGACGTTACATGTTCTATCATTACCAATTATTTTTTATTAACATTGTAAATATTTACAGTTTGTTCTGGTTGTATTAAATGAGCGCTTTATAACTTGTTTGAACACATAGAGTAATATTTTTACAAGGTCACCGAGCAAATTGGTCAAAGTTACGTTAGAATTAGGATTTAGTTATTGCGAAAATGTCTAGAAAATATATCTTTATGGCGCCAAACCTAGATACATACATTATACCGCAATGTCAGCCTATCTATATTTTATGATCACTGACGTAATCGTTTTCTATTAACACGAGTGTTTTTTTCACAGGAAGTAAAATCAGGCTTACATTTAATTTTTTAACAGCACTAGAACTGCAATTTGCTGTCTCATTAATATTTTTTTATGACACAGATAATCGAAAATTGCGTTACTGTTTCTTTGTTGTAAAGATATAGCATGAGTGGCGAAAATTGTTTAATTGCATTGGAACGAAACTAATAAAATGTTGATATTGATTATTAAATATCATTATCGAAAAACGCTAATGAATTTTATTTTTAAAATAATAATGTTGGTGCTACACCCATTCGACACTTTATTTGACATTTATTTAACCGTACCTGTCAAAGTGATCAAGGAACGCGTTGGTATTGCCAACATCATTGTTTTAAAATTTTATGGCTTATTATAATGTTAATCACTGTGGAAAAATTATTTATAAAAAGATTTTGATCTAGAATATTCCAGGGAAACTTCAGCTTCATTCAATATTTTTTTGTAATAAACCTCATATTTCGTCCTTAATACCGAGTCACTATTAATGTTTGTGATTTTTGTCAGGTTGGCAACATATTTAAATTTTTATGATGACACACCTCATGTAAAAGTGAAATTTTGATCACCAATTCAGTAGCTGCTATCTTCTCATTGGTTTTTTCGGCGCGCACATGTCAAAATTGACAACTGATATTGTTATCAATAATTCAGAATTACCATCACAAAAATTTGTTTAAATTATTAATAGTCACCCGATATGTAGTTTAAAAGAGAAATCTCTCAAAAAAATAACTTAACTTTAATTTTACAATTTTCCGATTTTTCAATGCTCCGATTTTATCATTTTTTGCTTTTCAATTTTTCGTTACTTCGAGTTTTCTTTTTTAAATTTTTCAGTTTTTCGATTTTCGAACTTTTGGATGTTTTATTTTATTAATTTTGCAATTTTCCGATTTGCAATTGTTGGGTTTTCTATTTTTCGACTTTTCAACTTTTATAATTTTTTTAATTTTTCGTTTCTTCAATTCTTGATTTTAAATTTTTCTAGTTTCCATTTTAAATATGTAATGATAATTTTGAAAATTTTTCACTTTTTCAATGTCCCGATTTTTTCAATTTTTTCAATATACATACAACTCTTCGAGTTTTCTTTTTTTAATTTTTCAGTTTTTCGATTTTCCAACTTTTGGATCTTTCATTTTATTAATTTTGCAATTTTCCGATTTGTTTTTTGGGTTTTCTATTTTTCGATTTTTCAGTGCTCCGATTTTATCATTTTTTGCTTTTCAATTTTTCATTTCTTCGATTTTTCTATTTATATTTTTTCATTTTTTTCAATACATATACAACTCTTCGAGTTTTCTTTTTTAAATTTTTCAGTTTTTCGATTTTCGAACTTTTGGATGTTTTATTTTATTAATTTTGCAATTTTTGGGTTTTCTATTTTTCGATTTTTCAACTTTTATAATTTTTTTAATTTTTCGTTTCTTCAATTCTTGATTTGAAATTTTTCTAGTTTCCATTTTAAATATGTAATGATAATTTTGAAAATTTTTCACTTTTTCAATATTCCGATTTTTTCAATTTTTTTAATATACATACAACTCTTCCAGTTTTCATTTTTTAATTTTTCAGTTTTTCGATTTTCCAACTTTTGGATGTTTCATTTTATTAATTTTGCAATTTTCCGATTTGTTTTGTGGGTTTTCTATTTTTCAACTTTTAGATTTTTTAATTTTTCGTTTCTTCAACTCTTGATCCGAAATTTTTCTAGTTTCCATTTTAAATATGTAATGATAGTTTTGAAAAGTTTTCACTTTTTCAATTTTCCGATTTTTTCAATTTTTTCAATATACATACAACTCTTCTAGTTTTCATTTTTTAATTTTTTAGTTTTTCTATTTTCCAACTTTTGGATGTTTCATTTTATTAATTTTGCAATTTTTCGATTTGTTTTTTGGGTTTTCTATTTTTCGATTTTTCAATGCTCCGATTTTATCATTTTTTGCTTTTCAATTTTTCGTTTCTTCGATTTTTCTATTTATAATTTTTAATTTTTTTGCAATATGCGACACTTCGAGTTTTCTTTTTTAAATTCTTCAGTTTTTCGATTTTCGAACTTTTGGATGTTTTATTTTATTAATTTTGCAATTTTCCGATTTGCAATTTTTGGGTTTTCTATTTTTCGATTTTTCAACTTTTATAATTTTTTTAATTTTTCGTTCCTTCAATTCTTGATTTGAAATTTTTCTAGTTTCCATTTTAAATATGTAATGATAATTTTGAAAATTTTTCACTTTTTCAATGTTCCGATTTTTTCAATTTTTTCAATATACATACAACTCTTCGAGTTTTCATTTTTTAATTTTTCAGTTTTTCGATTTTCCAACTTTTGGATGTTTCATTTTATTAATTTTGCAATTTTCCGATTTGTTTTGTGGGTTTTCTATTTTTCGATTTTTTAATTTTTCGTTTCTTCAATTCTTGATCTGAAATTTTTCTAGTTTCCATTTTAAATATGTAGTGATAATTTTGAAGTTTTCATTTTTTCAATTTTCCGATTTTTCTACTTTTCGAATAACAAGAGTACGTATATTAAGAAAAAAAAGGTAAAATTTGAGCCCCGCCCACCCACCCTACCTCAATTGTGGTGATTTTTTTATTCATCCTGAGTCTTTGAACAGTTGAAAACTGCCAAAAAATCACAATTATTTTATAGAATGAAGACTTATACAATTTTCAAAAAGTGGCATTTCATATTTTATTTTGGAAAGTTTCGCGTATTAATGAAAATATCAATAAACGAAAAAAGCCTAGTTTAATGACATGTTTAATTGTATGTACTAGTGGCTATGGCTAGGATGACATGATAGAGCAAGAGTTAGAAATGGTAAGGTACATGTTACACGATTCTTGAAAAGAAATATATTTAGAACTTTTTGTTTTTAAATCAGTATTGTTAAATAATTATCAGTGTTATCACAATTCATTTGAACTGTGAACACACAAATTTATTTACATAGGTTTCTATTATCATATCACATGAGCATATAATATTTAACCACTCAAGTATAAAAAAAGGAAGTAACAATTTTTCCATATTTGTTTTCCACATTAGATATATTTTGCTAAACAGTAGTGTCTTTTATCAAACACTTTGCTTTATATTGAATTGTAAAATTTTTGTTATTCGTAACGAGTGTTTAATTTCAAGTTTTCTTATATACGTTATGCTGATAAAAAATGAAAGTAAGAGGTATAAATTGAGAAACTGCATAATTTGGGAAATATTAGGAAATAATTAAAATTAGAAATCTATTTTCTTTATTTAAGACGATATCTTTAATTTATGACAACACATTGTTTTTAAATTATAAATAGTCACCCGGTTCAGTGGATTATTATATTATCAAAAGGATTCTCGATTTGGAATTTTTCCTTTCGGTTTTTTATTTTCTTTAATTTTACAATTTTTCGATTTTTCAATGCTCCGATTTTATAATTTTTTGTTTTTCAATTTTTCGTTTCAATGTTTAAATTTTTCAGTTTTACGATTTTCCTTCTTTTGGATATTTCACTTTATTAATTTTGCAGTTTTCCTATTTGCAATTTTTGGGTTTTCTGTTTTTCGATTTTTCAACTTCTAGATTTTTTAATTTTTCGTTTCTTCAATTCTTGATTTGAAATTTTTCTAGCTCCTATTTTAAAAATTTAATTATAATTTTGAAAAATTTTCACATTTTCAATTTTCCGATTTTTCAACTTTTGAAATAACAAGACTACGTATATTAAGAAAAACAGGTAAAATTTGAGCTCCGCCCACCCGCCCTATCTCACTTGTGATGATTTTTTTTTATTCGTCCTGAGTCTTTAAACAATTTAAAACTGCCAAAAATCACAATTTTATGGAATAAAGACTTATAAAATTTTCAAAAAAGTGGAAGTTTCATTTGGCATTTCATATTTTATTTTGGAAAGTTTGTTGGAAAAGCGGAAAAATTAACCAAACATTTTTTTCGTTATACATCGAGTATGAGCTAATTGACATTTTATGACGTTAATTAAGTTAAATGAATTAATTAATTCTTTGGTTAAGTTGTTTTAGAGTGGAAATGCTTTGAGAAGAACACGCCTCAGGAAAAGTAAAAGCGCCTAGACAAATTTAGAGAGAGGAAACTGAAGCAAAAAAAATCGAATGCCCCCATTTCAGAATGCAAATGATACGCCACTGGTCGAAGCTTAAGTGACAGATAAAAATTTAACATATTTCTCTCATAATGTTTCCACTTTAGCGGGAAAAAACGAGTCACTCAACATTCTGATTGTTATGTTAAAAAGCAAAGGCTTTGATGAAAAATTAAAAATGGCAGTAGGAAATTTATTAAATAAATCCTCTCAATTTGTAAAAAATAATCTAGGTGGCGCGTGTCATTCACAACCAATAATAAACCTCCAACATCAATATTGTCGGCGCGATTATTTAAATTATAAAAATATTAAAACATTAATGTCAGTGTTGGATTGAGGACACGTGGGTCCACCGGGAAATTTACAAAGTGGGGCCCTGCGGTATTTTATACAGATGTTATTTAGGTATTATTATTATTATAAAGATATAGTATGAGTGGCGAAATTTGTTTAATTGTATTGGAGCCAAACTAATAAGATGTTGATATTAATCATTAAATATCATATAATCGAAAAACGTCCCATAAAATTTATTTTTAAAATAATAATGTTGGTACTGCAGCCGTTTGACACTTTTATTTAACCGTACCTGTCAAACTGAACAAGGAACGCGCTGGTATTGCCAACATCATTGTTTTAAAAATAAATCTCATGGCCTACTATAGGACTTTTTTCAATCATATGTGTTAAGTTCTTTGTGGGAAATTATTTATAAAAAGATTTTGATTTGGAGTATTCCATTGAGACCTGCAGTGAAATTTCAGCTTCATTCAATATTTTTTGTAATAAACCTCATATTTCGTCCTTAATACCAACTCACTATTAATGTTCATGATTTTTGTCACGTTGGCAACATATTTAAATTTTTATGATGACACACCTCATGTAAAATTGAAATTTTGAGCACCAATTCAGTAGCTGCTATCTTCTCATTGGTTGTTTTTTTAGGCGTGCTCATGTCATAATTGACAACTGTGAACTGACATTGTTACCAATAATGCAGAATTACCAACACAAAAATTTGTTTAAATTATTAATAGTCACCCGGTATGTAGTTTAAAGACAAATCTCTCGAAAAATAACTCAACTTTAATTTTACAATTTTTCGATTTTTCAGTGCTCCGATATTATAATTTTTTGCTTTACAATTTTTTTCAATATACAATTCTTTGAGTTTTCATTTTATTAACTTTGCAATTTTCCGCTTTGTTTTTTGGTGTTTTCAATTTTTCGATTTTTCAACTTTTGGATTTTTTAATTTTTCGTTTCTTCAGTTCTTGATTTGAAATTTTTTTAGTTTCCATTTTAAATATGTAATGATAATTTTGAAAATTTCTGATTTTTTCATCGTCCTGAGTCTTTGAACAGTTTAAAACTGCCAAAAAATCACAATTTAATGTTAAGTTTCGCTTATTAATGAAAATAAATGTCAATAAACGAAAAAAGCCTAGTTTAATGACATGTATGTAATAGTGGCTACGAATAGGCTGACATGATAGAGCAATAGAGTTAGAAATGGTAGAGTACGTATTACACGATCCTTGAAGAGAAATATATTTAGAGCTTGTTTTTCTTTTTCATCAGTATTGTTAAATAATTTTATTAGTGTTATCATAATTCATTTGAACTGTGAACACACATAAATGTATTTACACAGGTTTTTATTCTCATATCACATGAGCATAGAATATCTAAACCACTCAAGTACAAAAAAAAAGAAGTAACAATTTTTCCATATGTATTTGTTTTCCACATTAGATATATTTTACTACACATTAGTGTTTGTTATCAAAGAAAAACACTTTGCTTTATATTGAATTGTAAAACTGTTGATATTTTTAATGAGTGTTGAACTTTTTAAAATACAAAAATGTAAATTTCCTGAAGTACGTTATGCGGATAAAAAATGAAAGTAAGAGGTATAAATTGAAAAACTGCCTAATTTGCGAAATATTAGGAAATAATTAAAATTAGAAATGTATTTTTTTTACTCAATTTATGGCAACAGATTTTTTTAAATCAAACTTCTAACACAGAGATCATTTAACTGACGTTATTTTAGTGCCACCTCCAAAATTCTACGTTCACTTAAATCCCGTCCAAATAGTCTTTGATGTGGATAGTTGCTTATGGCTCAACTCCTTCGGTTTAAACCTATACCAGTCACTAATGGCTTCAAAACAAGAAACGTCTCCATCGAACTACACTTACATTGACGTAAAAGTCGAGGCAATACTCCCGAGAGTACGTAAACCCACCTCCACGACATCATCACCACCAAATTTTTTCAGATAAGTTTCGAAAGCGCCATCGACTACCCCAACCAAAGAGACCGGCCAAAATCCCTAAGTTTCCAAGTAACACGTATCACCATAACAAACGTACGAAGTCTTGAACAATCCTCAAGAGCCGATTTAGCAAAGTGCGTCGACTCATTCCACATGGGTTCTTTATTTTTCGGATCGGAGTTTCCCTCTCGGGGTACCGATTTTTATGTAGTTACTCAAAAATTCCTAGACCATATCTCAACAAGTGATAATATACGAACTGTGCCTAATGAGCTCAACGTTTCGTCTTTGGAAGCATTGGTACGAGCTGTGTATCGAGTGTTACGTTTTTAACATGAACGTTCCAGGTGGAACAGTTGAGCAGAGAGTTATTATGGACTGAAGCCAAGGATGTGTGGTGTATTAGCTTAGATCCCGTTTGGGGCGACTTTTTAGGGGCTCGAGCTGTGGGTACAGGGAAACCGGTGCCGTTTTTGGATGCAGTACCGGTGACGGTTTGGGTGCACACCCAAATGGACCCGAATTCGACCATCAAGGATACCACGAACGCTGATATTCATGCTTTAGCGCACATTTCTAACCTTGTGAGTGTGCAGCTGAACCATTATCAGTATTTGTTTTTGTTGCGTTTGGCGGAAGACGCTTCTGAGATGGTTACGTTTTTGTCTATTGACTCCAGCAAAATTTTAAAAGTATTATTTAGTTTTGTGTGGGTTTTTGTTTATTGGTTGTTTTTAGGTTGAAAGTAGCGGCTCTCTGGTTGTCGGTGCTCTGATTCCACAACTCGAAGTCACTTTCGTTATGCCATCTCAGTGTCCCGGGAAAGAGTCCTCTGGTGGCGATGTCGAGTCTTTCGTTCCGGATTCTTCAAGTATTGCCGATGATATTGTGGTCGGTTCAACGGCGACCGTTTGGCAAACAAGTACTCTCTCTATTACTCAGGATAATGTTAAAAAGACCATGGCGAATGGGTCTGGTACTCAACTCGAACTGTCCACTAGTTACTCAATGGATTTTCCTCAGAGTAGTCCTGAAATTAAGTCCATGACGAAGAGTGCGCAACAACCCTTCACGAACATCAACATCCAGAATAATTTCAATGCTGGTAAAGAATTGTGTGTATTATGGGGTGTATCAAAAAGGCGGAAAAATTAACCGAACATTTTTATTTATTTATTTATTTTATACACCGGGTATGAGATATTTGACATTTTATGACGTTAATTAAATTAAATTAATTAGTTAATTCTTTGGTTGAGTTGTTTTAGAGTGGAAATACTTTGAGAAGAACGCATCACAGGAAAAGTAAAACGTCTAGACATATTTAGGGAGAGGAAACTGAAGGAAAAAATCGAATGCCCCTATTTCAGAATGCTACGCCACTGGTTGGTTAAGTGACAGATAAAGATTCAACATATTTCTTTCATAATATTTCCACTTCAGCGGAAAAATCGAGTCACTCAACATTCTGATTTTTATGTGAAAAAGTAAATGCTTTGATTAAAAATTAAAAAGGGCAGTACGAAATTTAAATAAGTAGATTGATTTACAAATTTGTCAAAAATAATCTAGGTGGCGCATGTCATTCACAGCCAATAATAGCCCTCCAAAATTGTTGGCGCGATTATTTAAATCATAAAAATTATAAACCATTGTCAGAGTCGGATTGAGAACATGAGGATCCACCGGGAAATTTACAAAGTGGGGCCCTGTGGTATTGTATACAGCTGTTATTTTTAGTTTTGCTGGTAACATTGGCGTTTTGGAAAAATGATGTTTTTGGAATTTTGATGACGCTACCAAGAAAAACAAACTAGTAAAAAAATTGTGAAAGGTTATTTTGACAGAATTTCCCTCGCTTTTGAAGTATAGTCCGATAAATTCCGCTTCTTTAAAAAATTAGATTCTGCTATTTTCGTTTTGTGATAACTGTTAACCTCTATAAAGTTGCGTATTTAACATCCCCGCCACCCCCACGTCTTTAAATATGAAATAGTGTATGCTCAACTTCGACTGTTTATGTTTACACTTCGAGCGAATTCTACTGCTAGCACAAACATCAGCGATTAAAAGAAAATGAAATTTGGTTGATTTTGTGTCCTCAAGGCAGAGGAAAGGACCGATTGATTAATTCATATTCAGTTTTTTTTTCCAAAAACACTAATAAATTTGAAGAAATTTGGCAAAAATGTAAGATGACGGACAAATTTTGAGTAACGATTTACCATGTTTCAAATAATCTTAAAATATTTGCACAATTTCACAACATTCGGTTTTTGTAATTTCAAAGTTACATTGTAAAATATTGTTGTACAATGTTGATCCAAAAATCTGCATGCTTTCAACACGGATTCATAAATCACACATGCAGGAATATGTTATTTCATAAAATTTAAAGAACATTTGTTTGGCAGAATTCTAAGAAGACGTCATAATTTTTTGGGAAGGCCTTAAACAAATTTTGATTAACGATTTATCATCTTTCCTATAGCCCTAAAACGTTTCCAATTTTTAAGTTAAATTGTTTTAAATTTGAATTTTTTCCCAAAAATGTCGATGTCTCGGGTAAAAACTCAACATGGATTCTAAATTACATATACATGGAGTATGTAGTGCTATCAACTAAGAAACATTTGTTCTACAAAATTATAAAATGACGTCATCATTTTTTAGGAGGTCCTAAACGAAAAAAAAATTCTTAACGATTTACCATGCTTACAATAATCTTAAAAAACTTGTAAGTTTTTAAAGCATTTGGTTTTACAATTTTAAAGTTAAATTATAAAACACAATTTTGATTTTTTCCCCAAAAAAATAAGGTGATTTATCATTTTTAACAGTCCAATTTTGTCATTGGAAGTGTTTTTATTTATTTATTTTTTTTTTGTTTATAAAAAACTGAAAGTGAGCGATTTCTATATGGATTCGTTGAAAATATGGTTAAAATCTTTAGAAATCCACAACTTTTTAAAAAATAATCTTAAAAACGCGGAGAAATGGACATTTTATTTTATAAAAAAGCAATAAAAACGTCACAAGTAGCCTGTGCGCTTAAAAATATGATAAAGAACTTCAAAATAAATTTAAAAAAAAACACAAACGTAAAATGAGCTTAAATAGATGAAAAAAAAAAAAAATCTGGTGAAACGTACTATTTGATTTTCTATTGATTTCAATGCAGAAATTTCATCTTAAACCCGAGTCATTCAGATGAGAATTGGATTTGAAATAAACAATGTATGTTTTTGAAATCACCAAAAATTATATTTGGTGAATATAAATTAAACCGGCAAAATTGTAAAATCATCTCATTATTGTATTAGAAGGGCATAAACGAAAAAAATTTGATTAACGATTTACCATGCTTACAATAACCTAAAACGTTTCCAAAAGTTCGGAGCAGTTTCAAAGTTAAATTGCAAGATGTTGTAATTTTGATTTTTTTTCTCCAAAAATCTGGACGTCCAAGATAAAAATTCAATAGGGGTTCATAAACAATGTGCGGGAGTATCTTATTTATAAAATTTAAATAATATTTACTACTGTAAATTTTGGAGATGACGTCAACAAATTGTTGGTAGCGATTAGCCAAATTTTGATCATTTACACGACATTCGTAATACACATACAAAATTTAACTGGTTCAGTAGTTTCGGAGATTATCTGTTTAATAAAAATCCGGACAGACGGTAGACAGACAGACAGACGGAAACAGGCGACCTATTGTTTCGTACTGAGTCTTCAATACAAAAGCACATACCGAGAAATTTTTATGGTATTTATTTTTTACGTTTGCCTTAATATGTGGCTACGAAATTTTGAAACTACACGTTCCTTCCACTGTATTGCGAGTTAAATTTTCCCATATTTTGATACACCTTCTAAATCCACTTGTGTAACGAGCACTTTTAGGCTTCTCTTCAATGAAGAAGGGTTTTACGACTTTAATGTCTTCGTTAGATAGTGCGTTGAAGCCCAGTCCCGACGATACCAGTGACACGGCATCCATAAGAAGCGATGCTTCTAGTGATTCAGAGAACTATGTTCTGATTAGTATGGAGGCATCCGATGGCGCCGTTTCTGACCTCATGTTTAACGTGAAAGAATTTTCCGCGGAAAACGCGGCCCCCGTAGAAGTAGCCAGTGAGGTGCTGGAGGATGAAAGCACCATCACCACGACCAGTGATCACTCTTTAACCAGCAGTTGTAGACGAAAAGATTTGGTAAGAACGAGACCTCCAATCGCCAGAAAATAATCCGGGTTTAAGATTTCAGTTTCTACGTTTAAGTTAAACAAGGTGGAATTTTTGCAACAGTCAATGGGTTATTCGTCTTCCATTAAAATCCAAGTAGGGAATATTAGTAGCGATGACTGTGTTTCCATTCCTTGGGATGAATTTCAGGTTAGTCTCGTTTGGTGTCACATTTTCATGGCTATTTCTCATTTTGAATGTTTTATAATAACATAACTTGTAAATTGAAAATTGCGAATTTTATAACACATACTGGAGTACCAGTCACACATGTACAAAAGGACTCTTTAATCACATGAAAGTTCTTATTTTTTCTTTTTGCATGCATCTGAATGTTGTGTGTGGCACAGGCTAAAATGAAGGTATTGAAACAATTTACAGTCATTTCGCATCTTGACATGCACGTGATTTGTTTTAGAATAGTTGTAGAGATACACTAGAATAGCATTTCTCCTATTGTTGCTACCAGCCTGTGTGTCATAATAAACCCTGTCTATGTGAAATGGTAAGACTAATCCTGACACAACCTCAAAACTTTTTTTCGAGGGGGTAACCATTCTGTACAATAGGCTAACCCGAACTCATGACATTGCACTTACCATAAGAACTTTGACAGGGCAAATAAAAAAAAATCGCTCTTCCCTTTCAAAAAAAAAAATGATGACGTCATCAGAATGTCAAGATCATCTCGATTTTTAGTTTACATATGCAAGGTGTTTTTAAAAATTACATAGCAACATTGTTGAAATTTATTTAGTTACTTTTATAAACTTATTTATTTTAAGAATTTAATTTCTTGAAATCTTAAAACGTCATGACTTGTGGTTATTAAAATTGATGTATGCATCCCCACCAAAAGGTTGATGACGCCATCTTAAAAAAATATAGGTACAGAAAAATGAAGTGTTATTGAGTTCGTTGTCCCACTTTTATCATTATGAATAAATAAAATTAAGTGAAAATTTTGATTGTTTTAAACCAATAAGTTTTATTTATTTAGTTATTTATTTATAGTCAAGGATATGAGAAGAACTACATTAAGATATGTTTCATTAGCAGTATCAGCATAATATAAATTTTTAAATTATACAATGGAATGATTCATGAAGCTCAATAAGCGTTTACTGTTTGCTATGTCTAGGAAAATATAATGGAGTTTGCAAATAGTTATCCAGTCTTATCGAGCATCGTAAATCAGTTCCTTATTGTTTATTTATCAGCTTCTGGCAGTTATGTGTAAATAAATTTAGAGTTTTAAAATTTAAGTTATGTATATTGATAAATTGTAGCTACGTATATTTAATGTATATATATTTGATGAACGAAACATAAATCATAGCTAAAGAAGTACACTGAAACGACATTCTAATGAAAAATACAGCTGGCAACACTTTGAAAATCCCTAATAATGTAAATTACAATATATTTTACTCTCGCTTTCAGTATTTTTGTACGAATAAAATTTCTTGGATCAATTTAGCAAGAACATAGTTAGAAAAAAATCAGCTTGCCGTGCTGTACTTTAAATGGTTTAAATTTATTTCATGCTAAAATACAAACGTATTTACATTCGTCAGAAAAACAATAATTGATGTAAAATACACAAACATATACACACTTAAGACACATATTCAGTCTAAAAAATAACAAAACACCCTTAATGCAGTTCACAAACATTATTATAACTACGAAAACAGGCGAGAATAGAATGTTATAACCGTACTAGTGTGATAATTGTAGTTACCGTATTGAAATAAGCCTATTTTATGCAACTTTCTTGCTCAAAATTTTGTAAAAATTTGCACGATGACTTGAAATTTATTTCGAAATGGGCCTAAACCTAACGGTTTGAAAATTGTTACACATTGAAAAAAATCTAGACCGCACTTAAAAAATATATAACATAGATGTAATGTCAGAAGTGGGTTTGTAATGAATGTCTAGGTGCGGTACTTGTTTCAGTGGTTACCCCTCGTTTTTATTTAATCATTAACCACCTATCACTCTTACATAGTGCAACCTTTGGTGCGTTACTACGACATACGCACCACAGTAGCCTTCAGTCATGCGTAGAGTAGTATCTGTGCCTAGCCTTATTTTTCATCACCTTAATCATCATTTTTCTTAATTTAGAGCAAGTTTAGTTCCCGAGCGAGAGCATGGGCCGACAATCCCTCAAACAACACAACATCGCCAAAAGTCAAACTACGACTGGACCACACTTTAACATTACCAAGCTCGAAATCAATGATGCAGCTAGATTTTAGAGACCGAGACAACATGAAGAAGCTCTTCAGAGACCTCCTAACAATAAAAGTCGCGGATTTATATTTAGATTTATCAATGAGCACAGTGACAGGTTTAGCTGATTTAGCAGAAGACGAAATCATCCCGATCCCGATGCCGATGCAGATTTCTTTGGATAACGTTCAGCTACACTTGAACGAAGACCGACCTCCTGTGAACATAACGTCCCCAGGCCCCATCCCCATCGATTTAAATGTGACTCAGTTATATATAAACCGGTCCGAAGACGGCGTTTTCAATATTCTCCCAAATAAGCCGAACCAGATGTCGTCTACATCGTCGATTGCTTCAGACCACGACCAAAGCGCTTCAAAGCTAAACCGACAACTGACGTCTGATAACGAAGAACTGCGGAGACGCTTAGCGGCGTTCGAGAGGGTTTCTGAGGAGAATCGGTCGCTGCGGAAGTCGGAAGAGGAAACTGCGGTTTTGAGGTCGTGTTTGGCTTCAGCGCAGGACGAAGTGTCGCGACTGCTTGAGGAGAAGAAGAAACTGCTCGAGGAAGTAAAACAGCTGAAGAGCCAAGTTAGTAGTTCCACTAACCGACAGTGGATCAGTAAAAGATAGCAATGCTGTTTTGACTGTACAAACTGCTGCTCGAATGTTAAAAAGACATAGTGGTAGTTTAGTCAGTCGCTGTTTAAAGTAGTTGCAGTTTATATGTGGAAAGTAGCCATTTCGCTATTCTTTAGCGCTTAATTTTCAAAGTTGTGTATGGCTTCATTCAAGTGGAATGTGATTGGTGTTTAATGGCAAAGGATATGTATTCAAACGTGTTTTTGGCACAGTTTGGATTGCTCCACATTTGTTTTGAGAGATATTATGTTAAGAATGCCATATTCTGATCGATCAGGATCATCTACTTGGTGCAAGGATAAGTGCAAGAGGTTGCAATAAGTTACGTAAAGTAGAAAACTAATGGTTGATATTTTTGTTCCAATTATAGTTAGATTACGAAAAACTAATATTTTTTGCGCTGTGAAGTATTTTTTGATACAATAATTTGTTGTATATTATTGGTTGGATAAGTGTAAATACTTCTATGTAAAGTTAAAATTCAGAAATTTTGTGTAGGTGTAAATAAATTTGCTTAGAACGTCAATGCCAAAGAATGTTTGAATATTATTATAATCTTCACTGATATCTTTCTTCCATCCACTTAAATTTTATTAGAATTGAGACACGATAATAGACTGGGTTTTATTGTTATTTGAAATATTTAGTGACTTTGTTACATATGACTTTATATTTTAGTAAATCATATATTTATTTCTTTCTTGATGGAGTTGTTTTAGTGAGTACTTAGACCTTTACTTTATCTACTTTAAAAATAAATACAATGCAAATGTTTCAATAAATTGTTTTCGCATCAATCTGCATCGTTATTTACCACAAAGTGTGGCAAAAGCAATTTATTTAAAAAAATATACATAAATACCCTACACTGTAAATTTCCTTAACTCTTCGGTTCAGCCTCTGGAGGTGGCGAGTTGTCGGGGCCTTGCTCATATGTAGACTTATGCTTCAGTAAATAAGCTGCTAAGGCCGAAATAGGCTCTGGCGGACGTTCTTTGGCGAGATGAGAGAGCGCTTGCATCAAGATTGGCACCACAGTTTGATCCAAATATTGGCGAGTTGGTAGAGACCCTAAATCTACTCTCTTCTTGGGTTGTGCTTCCTGACCACCTTCCATCACTGCAAAATCGCAATTTTAACACCCTTTAAGTGCCTTTTCACGACTCGGGTGCAAATTATGGAAAAACACCCCACATATAACCTCAAAATTACCTTGTAGATTCAATTAAACGTATAACTCGACGATATAAAGTACGATAAACTGTTAAAGTTTCGAAATAGCAGACTTATTTCTCTTCAGGGCTTTAGCTCAAATGGAAGATGACGCTTCTGTTCTCAGTTAAAAAATTCAAATTGTTATTTACATTTGAAATGAAAATAATAAAAATACGCATTCGGAAGTTTCCGGACGTGCTCGGAGCGCGCCATTTTCAAATTACGACTGGCCACACCCACTTGATTTTCAAGACAAATCGATGATTTCGTTACGAAATGACTAAATCACAAAAAACACACAAAAACACGGCCACAACATACAAGAACGAAGTCACAAATATAAAAAAAAGTTTACACCCAATATACGGAAAACCGTAATTTTACAAAATCGTCAAAATGTAAAATCGATTGTCAATTTGTCGAAAGACCAACAGATGGCGCTAAATAATTAAATAAAAAAAAAAAAAACATTAAAAAGATATTTACATTTATTAAAAATCACAACTACTGTGAGGCAATTCTTTTTTCATATGCGGCCCACAGAACCTCCTTGTATTTCACAGCCTCGGCCGCCGGGTCTGCGGATTTTGTAATTGCTCTACCGACGACGGCAACATCGGCGCCTTTTTCGAGAACAACAGTTTCTGGACTGTTGTACTGTTGTGCTAATCTGTCCCCCACTGACTCTAAATGGACACCTGGCGTCAGCTGTATCACTCCTGGTTCTTCTAACAGAAGAGGATTCTGACACACAATTCCAGTGATCAAATCTGGATATTGTTTAGCCAGTTTTAGTGTGGCGTCGACGTAGCTTTGGTCCGTCAGACTACCCGCACAACTCGCTTCAGCCAGAAGAAATACTCCTCTGTCTTTCAAACCTTCACTCTGCTGAATCCCTTCCAAATTTCCCTTCCCCATGACCGAATGGGCTGTAACTAAATTGGCCCAGGAGGAAATCTGGTACATGCTTTTGCTGTATTGAAGCTGCACTGTGTTACCAATATCAGCGAACTTTCTGTCTTCAAAGATAATGAAATTGTGGCGTTCTGCTATTTCTTTCAAGTGTTTGAGAAAGTTAGGGTGGAAGTCTTCCACTATGTCTATGTGTGTTTTAAATAAACAAATATGAGGACCTGTCTGTTCTGCTAGGTTGAGTAGGTCTGTGGTGGACGTGACGTCAGCTGCTACACATAGTGTCGTTTTTTTGTCACACATGACTTGTAGAAGTCTCCTAGTGACGGGGTTTTTAGCAAAATTTAGTCTCTCCAAAAACGATAATTTTAACCTATCTGTAAAAAATGGATTAGATTTGATATTAGTGTAAAATTATAGTAGCTTACTGTTTTTTATTAAAACATTAGGATCTACTTGAGTGTTTTGTAAATATATTTTGACTTTTTCAACAACGCTTTCGTTGACGCAGTTAGCCTCTTTTAAAAACTGCATCAACTGCGTTAGTGACAACAAAGCGTGCATTTTTATCCCGTTTTCGCTGAGTAATTTTTCGCCGCCTTGTTCCCTGTTGAGTAACACAATAGCGTCACTACACTTGATGCCTGAATTTTTTAAATCTTTGACAGTTTCTAAAATGCTGCTCCCGGACGTGACCACATCTTCTACAATCAAGCAATTATCGCCTTCTTTAAATTGTCCTTCAATTAACTTTTTCGTCCCGTAGTCTTTGGCTTCTTTTCTTCTCATCACCATTGGGATGGAGTTTTTCACAGAAACGACTGTTGCTATTGGTAGGGCTGTATATGGCACGCCGCAAACTATATCAAATGTTTGCATTTTTTTAATATATTCGATTATTAATTCAGCTAGGGTGTTCTAAAAGATTATTGTAATAGATTTGTAACTACATACTATGGAATAACTTACTAGTAACTGAGGGTAACTCACTATTACCCTTAAGTCACAATAAACCGGGGTTATTAAACCCACTTTGGTTTTATATTCGCCGAACTTTATGGCGTTGATTTTGTATAAATCAACGGCAAACAGTTTTAATTTTTCGTCAAAAGTACTCATATTTGATTTGCAAATAAAACAAACACGTGTTTTGGTACTACCCGGTAGGTGTAGACGATGTTTACTAGAGAAACAACAAAGTACGACTGTGGTACTTCTAGACAAAACAGGAAACGGAAACAGCTGCCCCACCTCCCACCAATCAGAACAAGAGACTTAAGCCACCACCACTGATTCAACACGTGATTGCTGCACACGCATGCGCACTCTACCATTTGCGCGCAATTAATTAACGTTTGTTCAAATTAAATCGCGTTTATTTTATTAGCGTAGTGACGTTTTCTTAAAGAATGAAGTCTCCGTACTTAATTGTTTTATTCTATTTACTGTTTGCTGTATTGGGTATGAAAATAAAAAATTATGTATGTATTTAGACTTAACATATTTAGCAAAATAAATAACCGAATTTTTACAGAACTCGATGCAAATAAAAGATTTAAAAATTACAAAGTGTGATAAGAAAGACTATCCGCTCACTGTAAACAATGTCACGGTTCAGTTTGGGTCAAAACCGCGGGTAAAAGTCAGTGGTTCATTGAGCACTGAAGTTGACCTTATTGGCTCCATTAAGGTAGTTTTGCAATTAAATGGGTGGATTTAGTCATACTTTCTATTTATAGGCGTCTGTCATAATAAAACGTAATGTCTGGGGTTTGTGGATAGAAGTTCCTTGTGAAGATAACATGGGTTCTTGTACTTATGACAATTTATGCGACTATGGATATCCGAAAAATGAAACTTGCCCGCCGGATTTTGTCAAAAACAATGTACCTTGCAGATGCCCAATAAAAAAGGTTCGTGATAACAAAATTTTTGCATATTGTTGATACACGATTTTAGGGGAATTACACAATTTTACCGACAATCGGACTCCCCGAACAAACTTCCATTTTGTCGGGTACTTACAAAGGCTCAGTTGAAATCACGCAACAAGGGAAATTCCTCGCGTGTTATAATCTTTATTTTGTTCTCTATGACGAAAGTGACCTCTATTCTGTGATTCAAGTATAGATAAAATTTATAAAAACGTATTTATAAAAAAACAACGAAATAAATTATTTTTTTAATTTAATTAGTTTGTTTTTTCTTGCTCTTATTCTTCATTTTTTTCTTCTTTGGAAAATCCTCCAGTGTCGTGTCTTCTTTACTTTCGTGCATTCTTTTTTCCCCACTAGAAAAAACAATCACTCACTACAACAATTTTAAGCTAGAATTTTCACACAATTGTACCTTTTAACCGTAATCATATTCTTCTTTCCTTTCGTAGTTAAAACCTTGCCCCACTCTTCCTCTGAACCCTTGATGGCAAACTGCGACAAAGATTCATTTTTTAACTTCTGGAGCTCCTTTTTTTGCAACTTTTGTAGTTCTTGAGCGGCTTCATCTAACTCTTCCTTCATAGATTTAGCTACAGGGGTCATATTGACGTCTTTTTTAGGAATTAAACTTTTTTCAATATCTTCTTCAAGGACAGAGTTCAAATATTGAACACATCTTCTGATCAATCTGTTGAAAAGACCAAGAAGTTGCGATGACGGTAAATCTAAATCTGACGCAAGTGTATCGACGGTTTTATGTTGTAAACCAATGCCTAGTAAAATTGCCTAGAATTTTTTTTATTATTATATGAAAATAATATTAATATAATAATAACGTACTGACTGAACTGCAGACATTTGCATGTCCCCCATCTGATTCATAAAATATAATTTAGAAAGCGTTGGAACCAAGTCAGTAATTAAATGGTAATCAACTAAATTGTTACTATACATTTCTAACCTTTTGATGTCGTAGCTAGTTAGATGAATTTCTAATTCCGCTCTACTAAGACCTATGAAAATATCGTTAATTGATTTGTAATCAGTATGATCATTTTACTTACTTCTGGCGCTAATTATCCTTGTTTTATTAGTCAGAACACTTAAGGCCAGCGCTGGTGAAAATTTACTAAATTGGAAAGACAACAAATTTATAAATCGCTTTCTAAAGTCCGTCCAATACGCCAACAACCAATCGTCATTATTATCATCATTATTTAAAACATTCAACATTATACAAGAATGTTCTCCTGTCAAATCATTCGTCGTTTGTCTCAAATACACTGGAACGTATCCCGCACGTTTCCAAAATTTCAACAATTGTTCAGTCACTCCATAAGAAACACCTAAATAATCCAACTTCTCTGGTGGTCTATCACTCAATTTTAACAGCAAAGGTGGCAAATTTTTCCTTGGTTCAATAGTCTCTTCCAACAAACCCACTTCATCTTCAGCCACATTACTGATTTCTTCCACAGTGTCTTCGCTTTCATCAGTACTGGGTATTTTAAACTCATAATATTGTTTCAGAATACTTAAAGCTTTAGCACCATAACCCATCCCTTGATAATCTGGATGAGTCGCGATTCTCACAATTCTAGCACCAGAGAGACGTGGAAAATCAGGATCTTGGTACTGCTGACTGACAGTCCAGGGTATCAAGTCCCCTGAAGCTCGTTTCCCCCTTGAAATACCTTCAACGACTGTGCTTTTTGAAATTTTGCCTTCCAAACACACTTGGATGATTACAAGTACTTCTGGGAGGGTTTTTCGATTTGGGTCCACTGGTCCTAAGAGACAGAATAGGTGGTGAGCGGGAGCGTCTGACATCATTTGTAAGTCGTTGGGAGTGTTCTGAAATCAATGACTTAAAATAAAATGTGACTTATTGTAAGTTTGTGGTGATTACTTTGTAGTGTGAGGCTACATAAAGAGCCACAAGTCTTTGGAGAAACTCTTCAGACGCTTTGTGATAACAAAATAGAGTATCTCGATTAATGTAGTACAGGTCACAGTTATCAGGAGGAGGACATCCTGATAAAATAGGGGCAACTGAGGTGGCATCCAGACAGAGAAGTTTGGTGAGCCACGTTTCTACATTGTCGCCGGGTTTATACCGAATTGATTCTTCTAAAGTTACTTCATGTAAAGTACGACCTGTAGCTGCACCAGAGTCTTTTTTATTGATGGCATTTGTGTTGGCACCTACTGGTACAGCTTGAATGCGTAGTTGTTGTAGTAATTTTAACGACAAAGAGCGCCCTGTGCCCTCATACCCATTTATGGTGGAAGCCAAAAAAACTAAGTACGGTCCTAACATAGATTTGACATAAGGGAGAGGAATGGCTGCCGCTTCATCTATCACCAGTAGTTCGGCTTGAGAAAGTCTCTGGCTATCAGTAGGTTGAATGTACTAAAAATGGAACGCCAGTTAAATAAATACAAAAAGTTAGGTTAAGTTTGTAAATTTAAGCTCCGCCGCCATTTTTGCGAGCTTTCATTGGTCACAACGTTGGAAGAAGGCGGAGCCAATCATGCGTAGCATACACTAATTTCCGCACGCGTGCCGACCAATCACAACAAAACACATTCAAACTGGCGCCAAATTCAAATATTATTCATCGTGTGTATTCAAGTGTTCATTTCCAATTTCATAGATCTAGGGAAAATCATACGATTTGTTTTTATATTTATAATTGCGTGGGAGCATTTTTTTTATCCGCACCGATTTGTTAATTTTACAGAATAAAACAAAAACTTTAAAATGACAATCGAGACACTACAAAATTGAGACACCGTAAAATTGAAAAATTGGAAAAACGAAAAAATAAAAAATCCCGAAATTGAAACATCAAAAAATCGAAAAACGAAACAATTCTGCAATTTTTCGATGCAATATTTTTTAAATTCTTGATTTTTAATTTTTTAATTGTTCAACAAGAGGACAAATTTATTCAAACTGAACTTTTGAAAAACCGGAAAATTATAACATTGTAAAATCAAAAACAAAACAATTAAAAATCGAAAAATTGAAAAATCGACAAAAAGAAGCAATTCTGCAATTTTTCGATGTAAAATTTTTCAAATTCTCAATTTTTAATTCTTTATTTTCTCGACTTTTCATTTTTTAATTGTTCAACAAAAGAACAAATTTATTCAAATCAAAATTTTGAAAAATTTAAAAATCGGGAAATTTGAAACATTTAAAAATTATAAAATTGAAAAATCAAAAAATTTAAAAATTGCGAAGCCGAAGAATTGAAAAATAAAGAAAAATTGAGAAAACCGAAAAAATGAGAATCAAAAATTGAAAAATGAAACTTGAAATATCGAAAAATTTTAAAATTGAAAAATCAACAAGTGGATAATTGAAAAAACAATTGAAAAATCAAAACATTGTAATATACAAACCTGAAAACCTTGATTAATTAGATATCCAGAAATTGAAAAATTAAAAAAAAAACGATAAACAAAAATTTCTATAAATTAAATAATCAAAAATACAGAAATTTTTAATTTCAAAATCCAAAGATTTTAAAATGAAACTTAAAATATCGAAAAATTGTAATACTGAAACCTCAAAACGTTGATTAATTAAAAATCGAGAAATTGAAAAATCGACTAACAATTCTGCAATTTTTCGATACAACATTTTCAAATTTTCGATATTTAATTTTTCATTTTTTAATTGTTCAACAAAGGACAAATCTGTTCAAACTGAACTTTTGAAAACCGGAAAATTGTAACACTAAAACATCAAAAAACAAAACAATTAAAAATCGAGAAATTGAAAAACCGACAAAAAGAAACAATTCTGCAATTTTTCGATGTAAAATTTTTCAAATTCTCAATTTTTAATTCTTTATTTTCAGGATTTTTCATTTTTTAATTGTTCAACAAAAGGACAAATTTATTCAAATCAAAATTTTGAAAAATTTAACAATCGGGAAATTTGAAACGTCTAAAAATTATAAAATTGAAAAATCAAAAAATTTAAAAGTTGCGAAGTCGAAGAATTGAAAAAATAAAGAAAAATTGAGAAAACCGAAAAAATAAGAATCAAAAATTGAAAAATGAAACTTGAAATATCGAAAAATTTTAAAATTGAAAAATCAAAAAATGAGAAATTAAACAAGTGGATAATTAAAAAAACAATTGAAAAATCGAAAAATTGTAATATACAAACCTGAAAACCTTGATTAATTAGAAATCGAGCAATTGAAAAATTAAAAAAAAAACGATAAACAAAAATCTCTATAAGTTAAATAATCAAAAATACAAAAATGTTTAATTTTAAAATCCAAAGATTTTAAAATGAAACTTAAAATATCGAAAAATTGTAATATTGAAACCTCAAAACCTTGATTAATTAAAAATCGAGAAATTGAAAAATCGACAAACAATTTTGTAATTTTTCGATCATTTCGATCAAAATCCAAAAATTTTAAAATGAAAACTAAAAGTTAAGAAATTGTAAAAATGATACATGAAAAAATTGAAAAATTGTACATCGAAAAGAAAAAACACTGAAAAACCGAAAAATTTTAAAAACCGAGAAATCAAAGATTTGAAAAAATACAGAAACTGAAAAATCGGGTAACTGAAAAGCCAAGAATTATACACTTGAAAAAAAATCCTAATAATAATTATTTGAAAATAGTGAAAAATTAAAAATCGGGAAATTTAAAAATAAAACAATTACAAAATTGAAAAAAAAATCGAAAAAACGAAAAATTGTAAAAAGATGGAAAATCAAAAATTAAAAAGCAACTTGGAAAGTTGCAAAATTAAAATATCTGCCCATTAAAAAATCGAAACATACAAAAATTTTACTGAAAAATAAAAATCATAATTAAAATAAAAAAACTAAAAAATCGAGAAATCGAAAAATGTAAAAACGTAACACGGAAAAATCGAAAAATTAACAATTAAAAAAATTACAAAAATTTAAAAATCTCGAATTGAGAAAATAAAAAATCGAAGAAACGAAACAACTTGGAATTACATACTTTATTTTTAATTTTTCATTTTCTCAATTTTTCGTTTTTTTAATTTTAATTTAACAAAAGGACAAACTTATTAAAAATGAAATTTTAAAAAATTAAAAAATCGGAAAATTGTAAAACTGAAAAATTGAAAAATCAAAAAATTAAAAACTGCATAATCGAAAAAAATTAAAAACAATTTAAAAATTGAGAAATCGAAGAACTGCAAAAATAAAGGAACTCAAAATCGAATAATTAAGAGGTCAACAATTGGAAAAGGAAAAATTGTAACCTTAAAAATGAAAAAACTGAAAATTTAAAAAACAGAAAAATCGAACAATTGCAAAATTGAAAATCAAAAATAGAAAAAACGAAACTTGAAACACCGAGAAATTTAAAAATTGTAATATTAAAACTTGAGAAACTGAAAACTTCGATAATTGAAAAAACAACTGAAAATTTGAAAGATTAAAAAAAAAAGAAACTGTAAAGTCGAAAAACCGATTAATTAAAAATCGAGAAATAGAAAATACGTAAAACAAAATTTTCTAGAAATAGAAAAATCGACAAATTGTAAAATTCAAAAGTTGAAGAATGTAAAATAAACATCGAAAAACTGTAAAATTAAAAAATCGAAAACTGAAAAATTGAAAAAATAGCGAAAGCAAAAAATCGGATAACGAAAAAACCAACAATTGAAAAATCAAAAAATAAAAATATCTTAAAATGGAAAAATCGAAAAACCGAGAAACTGTCAAATCTAAAAATTATAACATTGAATCCTGAAAAAAATGACGAAATAAAAATTGAGAAACTGAAAAATCGACAACAAAAAATTAAAAAATGCAAGAACTCCAAAATAAAAATCGAAAAACTGAAATCCTAAAATCGCTCAGACCACACAGGTGAAAGCAATAATATTCGACTTTGGGCCAGTTTGAATTTTGCGCCGATGTACTTTGTTGTGATTGGTCGGTGCGGAAATTAATGTATGCTAACACGCGTTTCACTCACCTGAATAGTTTGCCTGTGGTCCCTAAAAATATTAACCCTCACGATCGCCTTATTAAACTCAGGATTAGTACTTTGTACCAAGCTATAATCAATGTGCTCTTGATACTCAAGAGCGTCAAACCCCTTAAAAACAAACTCAAAAAACGTATTCAAATTTTCGGGACTCGGACTAGTCACAAAAATATTTGAGTACCCAAAAGCTACAGCTGCAGCTACAGACAACCCCAAAGCAGCTGACTTCCCTCTACCTCTTGCCGCCGTCAACGAAACCGTCGACCTCAACGACTTTTCAGAAATCGCTTCAATAAACTTAAGCACAGCTTTCCCTTGATCCAAAGTTTTACAACAATTAACCAAATTTCCAACCGGCTGCGTATCCCTCAGCTGCGTTTTCAGATCTTCCAGTTCAAGCTCACTATTCGAAGCTTCCTGATTGGCTTCTTCCGGCGTCACGTGTAAATTATGCGACGAAATGGGCAAAACTGACAACTGGTCATCCACCACTAAACAACGCTTACATGACGCTAGAGACAGAAGAAATCTTTCGTTGAAACGACAAACTACGTCTTGGTGCGCCTCAGTCCTAAACCGCTGATGCACGTCCATACTCATGGTGTACAACTGCTTGAGTGACGTCACTGAACGCAACAAAATCACAACTAAACCGCCCCCTTCCACGGTTTCTATAGTCCGCGCTAGCAAGTTTGGGGTCAGAGCTTCGAAATCTTGGAGCACGCACATGCCGTACGTGTTTCCTAAGATCTTGTGCGTTTCGGAGTAGTAACAGTATCGTATTTTAGTTGAGGAGAGGAAAAGCTCGAAGGGGTCGTCTTCGTTGACGTTGAGTTTGCCGGCTTGAATTTTGTGCTGGAGGTGTTTCATGCGTTTCTTGCGGTGGCTGCTGAAGCCCAGTTCTTTCTTGTAGCACCACAGGACCGAGGGACGTGCTTTGACTTCGGCTTTGGCGAGCATGTGGTGGAGAATCACGACCTGAAGTGGATTTGTGAGAACAATTTTGTTTGAGTTTTGTACATACCTGGTCTCTGCCTTTGTCGCCGACGATGGCAAACAGGGTGCGGTGCCCCAGTTTGACCCCATTTTCTATCAAAACGCGAATTCTGTTGTCGATTTTTTTGCGCACCATTTTCAAAACGTGAACACCACGATGTTTTGGCAAATTTGAGGTTATATAATTGACATTACTTGCTTTTTTCGTGAATTTCGTGAGAGGGCGCCAGTGGAGATCACGTGTCTAAATAGTGACAGCTGATTGTGACAAGTGACATAACGGTTTTTTTGTGTCATTTTTTTCGTTTGTCATATCAGTTCGCTTTAAGATTAAACGCTAATTTTGCGCCGAATTTGCATTCCTAAATGTTGTCTATGTCCTCATGACCGGGAATTATTTGCAAGAAGTGATAAAGTGATTCATATGAGGTATTTAGTGTTTCTTTCTTATATCGATTTTATTACGCAGTTTCACGTTTTAGACGCCTCTTCCGTGTATGATTCGAGAGAAATGGAGAATCCCGCGCCTACGACTGCAAACGGAGAGGAGCCCCCTCGCACCGACAAACTGAAACCATATAAAAAGATTTTCAAAGTCATTGTCATCGGTGACTCAAACGTGGGGAAAACCTCTCTAACGTACAGATTTTGCGAAGGCGGCTTTTTGGAACATTCCGAGGCGACAATCGGGGTTGATTTTAGAAGTAGGAACTTGGAGATTGATGGAGAAGAGATAACCGTAAGTTTAGTAATAATTGTCCGTTTTTTTAAATTAATAAGCGGCTGCAGTTGCAACTGTGGGATACAGCTGGTCAAGAAAGGTTTCGTACATCAATGGTTAAACATTATTACAGAAATACACATGCGATAGTTTTAGTTTATGATGTTACAAATGCGGCAAGTTTTGACTCTTTGAAGAAGTGGGTTGATGAGTGTAACAAAAATTGTCTGCATGATGTTCCGAGGATTTTGGTGGGGAACAAGTGTGATGGGGTTGCAGCGGTGACCACGAACGTGGCGCAGAGGTTTGCGGATCAGTACAACATGCCTGTGAGTATTTTGTTTCGAGGTGACAAAAATCATGAGTTGGTTTTAGCTGTTTGAAACTTCTGCAAGATTGGATTCTCAGTGTGATAATATTGAAGCTATATTTTTGACTTTGGCTCATAAATTGAAAAATCAGAAGCCATTTTTACCTGTCCTTGACAATATTAAAGTTAATTCTGCGTCTGAACCAAACCAACGGTCCTGGAGGTGCTGTTAATGTTAATTTATTTTGTATGTGAATTTGTGGGTACCCAATATATGTCAATTTTGAATAAAAGTGGCGTGATAATTAAGACTTTTGTATTGTTACATATAATATAATACAACTGTTTATTTACTCTTGCTATAATAAATAGTAATTTCATCTACTAAATTATACAACAGTGTTGTGGGATAGAGTGAAAAAAATTTACAGTAAGTACAATTTCTAAAAGAAATTTTGTTGAAATTGTTGTAGTCAGCTGCGATAACAAATAAATTAGTACTCATACACAAAAAATAGTCAACAAATCTCTATATAGTTAGTATTAAAAAATCACAATTTGATAAAAATCTATAGATGATGCCATTGCGTTGTAATCACGTGATTATTTGACTCTATTGCTCTTGCGATCTCTTCGTGTATGCTATGACTCAACCACAACGTTTGCAATTTCTTGTACCTATCTGTACACAACCTCAACGGGTTCCCTCTTCTCAACCCCATATCAGTCTCTCCATAGTCGTCTAAATATGGCGGAGAAACGAAACTTCCTCTGAGCGGAGTCGCCAGGAACAAGATTTCGCACTCTCTAACTCTGAGGAAAATCCCGACACCAGCACCACACATCTGCGCGTGGTAATTACAAGCCCCCACGTGCATATTATTGAGTTCCATCTGGCAGCAATAACTCTGTGAGCAAAGAATCTCGCCACAAACCAGACACATACTGGGAGTTCTAGCGTCTTCGTCGCTATTCGGACAAGTGAAAGTAGAAACCGTGTTGATCAACTCGCTGTAGTCCGCTGGTAGGTCGATCAAACGGTTAACCGGCAAGGGTTCGTGCACCACCTGGAGCGGCGTCCCTAGAAGAAATAGTTCCACCTCTTCGTGCTTACACCACTTCTTCACCAACTTCCATACTCTTTCGGAACTAAACAGATCTTTGGGTGTTTGCGGCAAATCTAAATATGTACACATATTAGCGAAAGTGTCGCCACCTACTTCAAGTAATACTGATGGTGCAGGTACATCAGTCAAGTAATGATAAAACAGAGAGCAGCATCGCAGGAACGGTACGCAGGCGTCTTGGACGTGCTTCCATACCGAGTGGCCGCTCAAACCGTCTTTGTGTTTCTTCATCGTCTTGAGAACTTCGAGAATTTCGTGGTCGTCGTTCAAGCCCGTGTCCATCGAGTCGCTCAATTTTTCCAGATCCATCAGGATGAGTATTTTAACGATGTGAGCTAGGAACACGGTTCGAAGCGTGTGTAGTTCTAGGGTACCACCGGTGGGTATAGGCGTTGGAGATTCTTTATCCGCAAGACTAGGCAAGGCGAAAGTTAGAGGGATCAAAAACCCGAATGAGTCCCATTGTAGAATGGAAGGACCTTCGTCTGGGTGTTCGTGCAAAATCGACAACAAATTCAAAGCGTGGTTGTTGATGACGACGCTGTTGTTCCAGGTGGTTCCTAAAACCCCTACTATCCGCACTAGACTCTCGATGCAGTCGCGTTGTCGACTCGACAGGTTACCCAAGAGGGGTTTATTTGAATCCCTCAGTAACACTTCAATGGCGTGAGTGGTGTAGGATAGCGACTTCCAAGCCATAGGTGCTAACCGTTTGTCAGAAGGGTGGGGGTTAACATTCAACCCCCTCGTGTAAGTTACTTGAGCAAATAGTTGAACCATCTCCCTTAAATTCACGTCTAACTCAGGACACTCCCCAGGGAACAACCCCTCGAATTTACTTTGCAAATCTCCGAAATCCTCACTAGCGTTGTCGAAAATACAAGAATAGAAGACTTGGTAAGGCTGCAGTAAGCAGTTGGCTTCGCAAATCGACATCGACTCGGAATCTAGATTGGTACCATTCGAGCCGTTCAAACACGCGCTGCAGTGAACATTGGAACAATCAGCGGCACTACACTTGAGAATACCGTGACAAACTTTGACCTTCTTCTTCAAGATGACATCCACGCAAGCTAAGTACTCGTCGTACGTGGACAAGTTCTTCGGGTGACTCGGCTGAAGAATGTTCAACGGAGGTACCAAAGGCAACACTGTGTTACTAAGACACTCGCAAAGAGGGCACAGGAATTCCTGCTTATCAACATCAAAGCTCGCCGGATGTCGCAATCTGTACGGCCTCCTGTGCTCCCTTATCATCACATTATCGAAGTACTTCCTCCAACACTCGCTATGCATTACGTGGCCACACGTACTGGTATGGGGGGCGGGCCCTAGGTTCGAATTTAGGTACAAAGGGTCTTGCATACTCGTCAGAACTTCATTGTTTTTGTGTTGGCACAGAACGGTGGACTGTTGGACGAAAGCGGCCAGCACAAGCGTCGGCCCGTCCTTGGTAACCTTCTCTTCTTCTTGACACAGAATACAAACGTAGGTTTTTTCAATCCCTATTCTAGTGGTTTGTTTGGAACCCAAAGCCACTGGTTGCTCCTCGCAGCTTTCGCTCACGTCCATCGCCAGATCGTCCAACTTTGGCGCCTTCACCGACCCCTCGATGTTAGTTTCCTCAAAAAGCTCCGCGTTCTCTTTCATGAAAGTTTTCTGCATGGCGGTGATTTGAGCCATGATTTTGGCTCTTCTTTCCGCTGCCATTTTCGCGCGTCGTTCTTTTTCGTTGTCGATGTTGGTACTAGTGGAAGTTTCGCCGCCGTCGCTGCTGCTACCACCCTCATTACCTTTTTGGTTTGCCACGTCTTTGTATTTTCGCAAAACCCACTTGACTAACCCCTTGTGAGCGTCTAACCGCGGACATTCGAGAAGCTCAGTTACGAGGTTGAAAATGTTAAATTTAGATGAGTTGATGATGAATTTAAAGAAGGGGTAGTTCTTGGATTCTTCCTCCTGTAACGCGTACCCGATTAAGTGTAAAACTTTATGTAATTGTAACTCTGAGTAGCTTCTGGCTCGTAAATTGATGCAGCGTTCGAGCACGATCTGCATGATGTGGAGCATCACGTCGCATTGTAACAAGTTGACTAACATGTGGAAGGACTCGTTTAATTTGAGGAGTCTCGGTGGGGGACAACATTCCAAATCACCGGCTCCTTTACGCCGCTTTCGCTGCGCTTCTTCAGATTTTGATAACTCTTCTCTGGTGTAGTGATAAAAGAACACGTTATAATCATCAAAGAACTGGTCCTTCAACTCATAGACACCTTTCCCGGAAGTCTGTGTGGGTTTCTTGAAGACTGCTAACTCATCGATGACGTCATCTAAGGCGGTTTCGTGGGCGATGTCGTCAGTGATGATCTTATTAAGCTCCGAATGGGGCATCGGTTTAATACATAGGTGTTGAATAATTTCTTTCTTGATTCTATCTTCAGTGGTGACGCTGCTAATTCCCGGCATGTACCTCTCCCCTATTACTACAATAAGAAGTTGTAAAAATTCTTCCACTAAACTTATAGTCTGTCTCATGCTATCTTCTTCAGGCGACTTTAAACTGGTCACTTCATAATCGGCCGAAGCCCAGTTGATTAAATTGAATTTGTGCAAAACGTGAATCAGAAATTCGTTGCTTTCGATTAACGAAGCGCACATTTGGAGGAGTGTTATGTCTCGATCGAGCATTTCAGTTCGGCATTTGACGTTATGGTAAAAGTAGAGTTGGTTCAAAAGTGCGTAGCCATTTCTTCGCCACATTCCCGCATGTACCTGGGCTATCATAACCTGAGCCCGTAACACCGGTTCCATGATTTCTACCGGAGTCGGTTTCGGCGCTTGCATTTCATCAAAATGAATATCAAACTTCTCTAGGTATAGGTGTAAACCCGCCAGGAAGCGAGACAGGGGTAGATGGATGGAAACCGGTTTTAACGCTACGTCGTACATTATACAAGAAGCGCTATGATCGACTAGTTCTATGGCTTCCCAGCGCTCGTGAGGGTCATAGCACGGGTTTTCGTCCAACTTCTTCAATACAGCTCTGTAGGCTTTAACCAACACGACTCTGTCAGTACTGCACCACTTAATAGCCAAAGAGATGCAGTAAGCTAACCGAATGTGAAGATTAAAGGCGGATTCCCACTCCGGCTCGTACTCCATATGCTGACCCACTTGCCTAGTTACCGCATCCATTCCTTGCATTTTCGTGAATAAATTAAGCATAATGAACAACCCGTGAAGGAAGTTTTTGCGTAAATCGTCATTCCAGTTTTCGGGAATCGAGCTCAAGAGATATCGCAAGTCGTGAAGCATGAAGTGCGCTCTTTTGAAAGCCGCGCTCGATGGACTTCTCTCGAATTCCAGTTTCCCGGCTTTGTTACATTTCCCGGAGCATTCAGACATGAAGGTGTTCAAGAGGATGTACAAAACGTCGTCGCAAGCAATTAAATGGTGCGCCAAAGTCGGAACCGTGAATAACTGTACAGATAGTGACGAAATCGAAAATGAATGGTCGTGGTCGTCCTTGATAAAATCCTTCATTACGGGCCCGTAGTTTTTGGTGAAAATCTTCGCCAACTCTTTCTTGTTTTCGTATTCTAGGAGCATCCCGGAAATGAGGAGGCGTTGCCATTGCGATCTGGCGCTTTTCCAAAGAGTGGAGTCTTTGAGAAGAATACCTTTGATGATACAGTTTTCGTTCTGGGGGGTTTCCAATGCGACTTGGGCGAAAATAGCCCTGAAGCCGGCCCCGTGTCCTAGGAAGTTTTGCAACCAGGTTAACAACTTCATGGCGTAGACTTGGTGGGCGATGACATAAGCATGATTTACTAAAACCTTCAGCGGTTTATTGCCATGTCGCGAAGTGTATTTTTCAATGTCTTGTTTTAATTCATTGCAATGCTGGAACGACGAACACTTGACAACGGCTCGCCCTTCTCGGTCTATATTCGTGACGAATTCAATCGCCGTTCTTTGATTACATTTTAAAACCCTAGTTAACGTCGAGATAACTTGCTCAAAAGTATGAATTTCGTCGTTATACAAGATGGTACAGTAGGTATCATTGTCAAAGAAACTGTCAGAAATGTCCCCTAGTCTAATATCTGAAATCTGCCCTGTGTTGAGTAGGTTGTAAGCGTACCATAGAACAGCTTCAAACACCAACTGTGTGCGTTTTTTGACGTCTTCAGGGAGGCTCTTGTTGGTGTCTCCGTCCTTAGTGCCCGCGATGTGGATTTCGCAAAAAGGGGCCTTCTTCCACGCTTCTACGTCGCCGCAGTCGCAGCAGCCGCCCCCTTGCGACGTGCCCATTTTATACTTGTGGAAACGGTGTTCGGAGTGCTTGAAGCAGTCCACGCAGAGGACACACGTGTTGTCCATGCCGCATTCCCGACAGCTGTAAGTGGGTTCACCTAATTTGAAGACTTTTCCGCAGACTGATGGTGGTTTGTCCATTTCACTCAGTCTTGTGAGCACCGAACTAGGGTTGCCGCTGCAGATGAACTCTTCTAGCGTTTTGAAAAGGATCTTTTGGCCTCGTTGCTCGTCAAATCGCCAGTTTAGGCAGCTCTCGTTCAGCGGGGGGCTGTAGATCTTGGGGACCCATTCCTTCCAGTGCTGCTTGAAGTGGGCAGTGGTTAGTGTCTCGGTGGCGAATAGAGACAGCCATTCTTCGACGATCTCCTCCCCGGAGACAGCGGGGTCGTTCGAGTACATTTCCTCATCGACTATTTCCATGATGTCATGCCAGCTAAAATAAACACATTCATCAATAACTCTCCTAACCTCAATTTGTGAATGGGAAAAATCAACAAAAGTCAGCACATTTTACGTAAGAGTGAAAAACTTACTGCGCCGTGCGATCTGGAACTCGGAAAAAAAAGGTTATGAAAGGCGATGTTTTGGTAATTCAGGTAAAAGCATCCAAGCAGAGACACTAAATGCCCAACTTTCACGTGAAAGTGAATTGCCAAAACCTCACCACAATTAAATTTAAAATAGATGACGAGTATTATTAACACAAAGAAACGCAATTACCTTTCAATGAGAGTTGCAATCAAGGTTAAGCCCTTGAACGTACGACAGTTTGAGGGTTTTGATTTATGATAACTTGAAATTTCGCTAAATCACTGATGATATTACTTTTTTGAAACTTGAATTAACTTATTTTCAGGAAATTATAACAGTTCTGACCCGTGAACTTCCGTATCTTCTAATCTGGGCAAATGCCAATTTACGGTGACAAATAAATTGGAGGTTTGTTTGGGTTAGGGAAAATGTGGAAATTAAATATAATGCACACAACAATTAATTAACGGTAACAATTTTGTTTTAACACTATTTTGCACAGAAATACATTACACTAACACAATAATAAAGTCATTGTTGGTTCGACAAAGTAGTTAATGCACAGCGACCTCTGCCAACAAGTACATATAGATTTCTGTTTCGTGTTAGTTTTCATTCATTATCATTATTTCATCGTTATAGATTAGAAAATTAATAAAAACTATACATTTTGTTCTAAGTTGGAAATGCTTGGATTTTTTATACCCTAAAATAATACTGGAGGATTTAATTTGCAAAATAGTGTACTTTGTCAGCTTACGTTGGTAACGTGTAGATGACACTGCAACCCGGTGGCTAAGACTCCATCAACGGTAGTTGTTCCATACCAGGATTAATTAAATTGTATAAATTCTGCAAATATAATTATAAATTGTTATTTGCATCAGAGACCATAAAATGACTTTAGTCACTTTTTAGAAGTCGAGTTTCAAGACATAAATTATTAATGCACCACATCCACCTTCACATATAGTAAACTATAAAATCAAATTATGTTTACGACACTCATTTAATTTAACGTTTAAGATGTTATGTTGGGTATGCTATTGAGGTCACAACAAATATGATGATACGGTTCCGACATTATTAATACTAAGCAACACCGCACATAAAAGCACTGTAGACTCAAAACATAACTGTCCTTGGGAGTAAAAATTTTACGATTGTTTTAATGGAGACACTTATTAGTCTGCACTATTTTTAGGTTTATGTGCATTTTTATTGTGGATTATGGTCTCATTACGACCTGTATAAGAAATTTTTTTTCAAAGGAATTTGTTGTGTGCCTTTGTGGATTAGTAAAGTACTGTTTTATGTTAAAAGTGATAGAATAGCGTTATCCTTGCTGTTATTCTTGAGTTAATAATATAAGGTCGATGTGAAATAAGTACATATTATATAATAATTTACCGCAAGTGATCTAAGAAAAATTGAATTTATCAGTGTTTTTTGAAGAGATTACAATTCTCTGCTCGGAAAAATACTAGTCGAAATTAACTGATTTAGCAAAATCTGAAAATCCGTCACTTTTTAATACAAAATAACGTTTCCTTGAACAAGTTTTGAGTTGAATTGTTGGTTGCCTATTGATTAAACACTTGTAAAAATCAAAGTTACTTTGTAGTGTCTACTTTTATCAGTTAGGTATCCTTGTGTAAAAGCCTAAGGAGTTAGCTAGAACAATCATTACAAAGAGGCGGCAAATGCCACGAAATTTCAAAGCCATCTTGATGTACCTACTCTTATACATAATTACGTTGTACCTGACCCTTCTCGATTTTAACAGTTACCAATAGTGGCGTCAGTTGTTTCAAATTTAAGCAGAACCATGCAACAAATGATGCTTTTTTAAAGTTGTAAATATGTATATGTACAATAAATGTGCATTTGTTCAAAATCATATTGGTTTAGTTTTAAATTTGTCGTATTTGAAGTATTATGCCTTGAGAGTTTTATATAAATCCTAGACCTTTTTAATTGGAATAGAGAAAGAAATAAAGGTCATGGAAATATGTTAATGCTTTGTAATCCATGAATTAAGATTTGATTTTATAAAAAAAAAACTACTTTACACTTAAAATTTCAAATTTCACATTATATTTTAACAGATGGAAATTTGCATTATTTTAGGATCTCTGAAGCTTGAAGGAAGCATGAAACTGGACCATTCTCGAAATGAGTGGCTGGTGTAATATTTGCAGTTCAGACATTGCAATTTACAAACAAATTTTTTTAGAACAAAATCACAATGTGACTGGTAAAAGAAAGTCTTTTGTTGTTACATTCAGTTATAAAAATTTTACTAACCATAGTAAAATTTTATTTATTTGGAAAAATATCAACTTGCAGTTAAATGAGCTTTTAAAAATTTTTACAAAAAGTACAATCTGGATTTGGATTCTGTGTGTAAGAACACACATAATAATCCAGCTGTCATTAATATACCTAACGCTTCCAGCTGATTTTAAATTGATAATGCACTAAGCGAAGACGGTCCTGTTTTGAGTCAAAACAAAGCTTAAACGAAGTGTTGCTGAACAACCCTACTCCTACTTCAGACATTTGTCGGTGAGGTACTTTCTTAGTTGAAATAACTCTGCCATTTTTTAAATGAACTGTTTTTTCTTTATATATTTTACTTTATTTATTAATAAGCAAACTACAAGTAATCAATACGTTCTGACCCTGACCCTGCAGAACAAATTTGTCAGCTCTTTCAAGTCCGCTGACGCTTTTTATTCTGTTTGCGCATCTTGAATAAAACTGAACTCCACTAAAAAAAAACACACACATACAAAAACATTTTTTTTATTGTTGTAAAAACAGTAAAAATTCTAAAAAATGAATTGTTTTACTTTGGACAGAATTTACAAAACATCTTGTATCCTGTATCGATCGCACTCTTTATAATGCCATTTATTAAATTTCAGTTACTTGCCTAAAACTTAGTAAATTAATCGTGTAATACTTAATTCATTAAAAGATAAACAACAAAACAACTAAGTTTTACCTTTCGCCTATGCACTTTTGCTGTTTTCATAGCAACCGAAAACTCGAAATATACATATATCCACAGACTGAATCCAATTCATAAAAGTCGTTTGGGTGAATAAATTCATGTTCCGTGTAAAATGACTCAATTTTTGTACATATTTAAATTTTTTCTGATCTTAGATAAACATGAATGTAGCGTGTCCTATTACACATGGGTGGCACTGAAAGAACTATTTTTGGTTAATACCACTTAATATAGTCAACAAATTTATTGCATATTTAATTTTTTCTGGGTTACACACGTCACGTTTTTTAACAAAAATCACTCCCTTACTTTTTAAAAATTTGATATTTGCATAATTCAAGGCAATGGACTTTAATACTGAAAGATTTATAAATCGACGTAAAATCCACGTTTGCCTATTTGAAGACACCGTCAGAATCTACTTCATCAAACCTGAAAAAATTCACATTATCTGGTGACATTTTAATTTGTTTCACTCGCAGACTTTAGTAATTTTCACACTTGAAGCAACCTGCAGCGAAATAAATTAGTTTTCCGAGTAAATGCAGAGTAATTATGAATAAACCGTAATGCAACATTTGATATTAAACTTCTATATTGTACCGTAGAAATTCGTTGAACTTTTTTCTCTAGTCAGTATTCAGATTTTTTGTCATACGACAATAAAAACGTTTTCAATTTTGCAATTTTGGCTCGAGTATCAAGATGTTTGAAGCACCAGATTAGGAAACGAGAAAAAACATTATTACATGTAATTACTTTCTCTTGAAAATTTCAAAATACTTAAAAATTGAACCCGACAGATTTTTTATTTCCTCATGAATTTTCTTTTTCAACGAAGTGCTTGTAATGTTCATTAAAAACAGTTTTAGTTGCGACTTTGCGATCCTTTAATCTTTCGCAAATGTCAAAGTTCATTTTCATTCTAGGCTGTTTGTGACCAATTTGGTTATCGAGGTCGGTCAGCACCAAATAAGCAAATAACCTGTTTCAATCGAAAGACATAAAACATAAAATTTTTCCTAACACGTTTCCATAAAAAACGGAGTTCGTGTTCTTTTTCCATTATTGCCTTTACTTTATCATGTAAACATAGCATTTTGGAGATGACGAAAAGTGTATACTGAAAAACGATCAGAAACGCTCAGATAAAATTGGCCAACATTTATTTTTGTATCGTTCGAGAATAAAATTTATTCCGCATGACGGCTTGTTTATACCCAAATATCGCTTGTTTTGGTGGATCAGTCTGTGTTCAGCTCTCCGCAACGTGGATACTTTTTAAACGATATGCTCCACATGATAAGAAATAAAACATTTCCGCTGAAAAGCACGCAATAATACCAAGAATTTGTCGCAAATGATTAGCATAACTGAATAAATTGTGCAAAGATATCGATTGAAGACAACTGTCTCGAGTAAATGTTGATAAAATGAATTAACCAATTATTTAGGTTGAACTATAATTTAAAAACGTTACAATTTTAACTAGAATTGTCATTAAACTTAGCTTCTATCGCACACGAGATAATCAAAATTATTAAAGTGAAATGGCACATTTGCCTTTATTTCGTGTCACAGATTTGATATCTTCTTTGCATGGTAATTAAGGTGTCATTTAACTCGGCTTTTATCATAGTAAACGAGGTATTGCTTGTTAACTGAAACCTGAGATGGCCATTACAACCTAATGTAGTGTGGTACATGTTTTTTTGCTTGTTAATAAGAGTAGGATTACATGAGGGCAGTCTCCTGTAAATTATTTTGTTCATGTTTCATTTATAAATTTGTAACTATAGCAGCTGTGGAGTTTGCATGTTCTAATTAACAAACTTTAATTTGAAATGATGAAAGTTGTACTATATGGAGATAAAGCCCAAAAAAATGACATGTAGTTAATTACCTTTACGAACCAGAGCAATCACTGCGTCAAACTACTTTTTCAACAAAGAAGTAGATCATAATCGAGAAATTGTGTAAAACGGCTCCCTATAAATCGCACAACTTCCTCGCAGCCTTTATGATACGGCGAAACAGCAAATAGCTGAGTCATTAATACTGAAATTACGGCAATTGTTCAAAAGTTTCGGTACCGTAGGTTGTTTCTGGGCCCTTTGAATGTCCGGTGTTGAACAAACACGGATCGTATGCTAAACCGGACTATTTTGTACGATGAAGTGTCCCCAGTGCTTAGACCTGTGTTTGTATTGGTCTCACACCCTTGGAGCGCAATAAATTAAACGAATTTCAAGTTCGTCAAGTGTGGACTGAAAGTAGTTCCAACTGCAATATTCATGAGTTCGGTCAGTAATGTTCCGGTTCCGGAGTTTTCTCTGCGTTGGCTAAACGAACTCGTTTTTCATTTTATTAGATGAAACGCTTGACCTCCCCGCAGATTCAAGACAGGTCAATTCGAAGATCTAATAATCTCCGGTGACATCAAAAGGTGCACGATAAAAATAACGCGGCTTTAGCAGTTCGAAAACGCGGGATGGCTCGTCGGAAGTGGTGATTTCTTTTGATAGGTATTGTCACCATTATGCCATTGAGCTTTTGAGGGGACGGATCGGGTGCGGATGTGGCAGACGAAGATGAAAAATAACACTTTTGTCTTTGGATTAGCCGAATCGACGAAGGATAGATGGGTCTGGAAACTCCATCTCGCAACGGCGTCGACGCCGCAACAAAAGCAGAATTAAAATGGTCTGTAGGATCTGAAGGATTCTTTTTGAATTGAGAATAACTTTTGTTTGATATGTATCGATTTTAATGTAAAAATGTAATTTTAGCTAATATGAAGACTAAAACATTATGTTAGTAAACAGTGTTATGGTAAGTTGGAATATTGTTTAATTGTATATTGTTATAATATTTGCGTGTTAGAAGCTGTTAAAAGGAAATATTTAAAACTGTTCTGTTTACAGGCAACACGGAAAGTTCTTAACTCAATTATGACTATCTGTACGAAAAGTTACCGAGAGATTTTACTTAGGTATATGTATTTCATTACGAAATCGTAGGATTTTGGGTTTATTAAAAAAATTGTTTATTTATTTGTCTATTTTATATGGTAAGAAGTCTTGATTCACAACTGTCAACCATTCAGGATGTTTTTAGACAAAAGTGAGCCATGATTTTTTTCTTCACGTTGGATAAACTGATTCATTGACAAAACGGTTTGTCTGTCAGTGCGTCAGACTGACGTTCACTGGAGGCTGATTTGCCACGATTATTGCTATTTAGAAATCATATTATCAAACTGTAACATTTCTGACTTCTGTCATTAAAATTTAAACTGCCGAAAATTATTTTGGTATAACAAAAACTTTCAATAAAAATAAATGACCATTTTATACCATGTAGTATAATTTGCACTCATAATTCCGTACTTCTGGATCTCACTGCATATGTATTTCACAAATTTTTGAGTAAAGTATTCCATATTTCATTTAGAAAACAATTTCCAACATCATATAAGTACACAGAATTCGTCATTAATTAGTCTTTAATTAGGTACACCTTAGTACAGATTATTTTTCACCCGAGGACGGTTACCTTTTGGATACTATTCAAACAGCTGTAAAACATACAGTTTGCCTATTGTTTCTTGATCCATGTACATATTCTAAATTTTGAGCACCAGCAATTAGACCTAGGATAATTCTGAATTTGTTGGATTGTACTTACTTCAAGGGCGAGGGAAATTCTGTCGAAGTAACCTTGGACTAATTTTTAAATACTGAAATAACAATTGTTAACTTCAGTGCTTTGAATCGCACTTATTGGTATGGAAAATACAAAGTGTGAAATTAGTGGCAACAGTGTTACAGTTTTTGTCAGATTTTGTAAACTTACATTAAAAACAACTTAACCTTAGGGATCTTTACATATACGAAATTAGTTGCCAACCAAATTACTAGATTTACATGTCCTACCTTTGTCTAAAAACATCCTGAACGGTTCATAGATATTATGTAGAAACTTGTAACAAAATCTTGTAAGAAGGTTCTAAAATTGTGTCCCTTGTGGTATTTCTATTAGTACTAATTGATAAATAAATAACATTTGCGTTACTTTGTGTTATTTTTAACGGTCCAGATGTGCGTACCTGCCGTAATAAAATGTTCCGATTAAAAGCAACGCGCTTCTGGCAGTTCGAGAACGTGGAATATCTCGTCGGAAGTGGTGATTTCTTTTGATGGGTATTGTCGCCATTATCGGGTGGAACTTTCTGGGGGAATAGAACGGTATAAATGTTGGAGATGAAGGCACATATAGGTGATTTCCGCGATATGTGGGCGATCAATCTGCGGCATTGTCGCGGCGATTCTCGGAGCGTGTGCTGATTAGCGCGGAAGGAAGATCCAGAGATGGGATAATAAACGACGTTTCGAAACGAATTCTTCGGCGGTCGGTGGCAGAGTTCGACAGGAGCAGCAGCAGCAGCAACAACAGCAGGTTCTTGCTGCATAGGGTTGGGCGGCGCATCCCAAGTTGGACGACGCCGACGCAACAAATACGGGCGCCGCGACCCATAAAGCTGCGGACTAACATCATAGTGCGGTGAACGAAGTTTCCGAGAGGACGCTCGTACTCGGCGTCGCTGCTAAATACACGATCCTCTGCTGCAGTTCTATTTTCGGCCGGCGAGTCAGAAATAGCACCAGAAGTGAACCGGCGCTCCAGTGCGGAGCGGAACCACCATGAGTGCTTCGGATAGAGAGTAAACAAGAGGATGTTTTTTTCGTGGGACGGAGTTGAGTGATTTGTGGAGTTTCGGGTCCGAGTGTTGCGGGAGTATGCGGCGAAGGGTATATTCGGCAAGATGAACAGATGTTATGGCGGTGATTTCCTTGCTGATGCTGATGATGGCTTTGGCCTTCGCGGCCCCCGACTGGATGGACTGCCCGGCGCCCTGCCACTGCAAGTGGTCGTCGGGGAAGAAGACCGCCGTCTGCAAGAGAGCTGGGTTCACCTCGGTGCCCGACAACCTCGACGGGGTGATGCAAGTGCTGGACCTTTCGGGTAACCACATCTCGAGGTTGGGGAAAGAAGCGTTCAAAAGTGTGGGATTGCTGAACCTGCAGCGCATCTACTTGTCGAATTCTGGATTGCAGGAGGTGCACGGGGACGCGTTCAGAGACTTGATAATTCTAGTCGAGGTCGACTTGTCTCATAATCAAATTACGAGTTTGCAACCGGAGACTTTTCGCGGTAACGAGAGATTACGCATGTTGTACCTCAACGGGAATCCGCTACGACGGCTGGTTCAGGAGCAATTTCCGCCGCTTCCTCACCTTCGAATCTTGGAACTTGACGGTTGTCAACTCGAGTACGTGAACAGAAACGCGTTTATACACTTGAGTGCTCTGGAGACTTTAAGCTTGAAGCAGAACTTGTTGCGGAACTTGTCCGAGGCGGTCTTCATGAACTTTGCTCACCTAACAACCCTAGTGCTGGACGGTAATCCGTGGCGCTGTGACTGTGAACTGCGCGGTTTCCGGGACTGGTTTCTTTCGAGTAAATTGCATTCCGTTTCGTTGACGTGCACCGAGCCCGAAAGACTCGCCGACCGGTTATGGGAGAACGTGCCGTCTGAAGAATTCGCTTGTCCTCCTCGAGTGTACGTGTCCCCTCAAGCTCAAGTACAGGCCGAAGCTGGCGGAAACGTCAGTTTCGGCTGTCACGTCACCGGCGACCCGGAACCCCAAGTCTCGTGGCTTTACGAAGGCTACCCCATCAATCATACGTGGCTGGTGATCGAAGCGGAAGAGGGCCTCCTGGAGAAGTGGGTCAACATAAGCGTGTACAACGTGAGTGACGCCGACACCGGTGTGTACACCTGCGTAGCCAGGAACGTGTTGGACTCGGTCGGACTCAACGTGACTCTCGTTCTTCCGGAGGTGGTGACGGCGACGACCGTCAGCAAGTCGGAGGGCGGGCTTGTGTGGTGGGGCCTGGTGATAGTGAGTGTGGCGCTGGCGTGTGCCGTTGTGAGCGCGACCGCCGCCGTGTGCTGTGTGCGTAGCCGCAGCCGCCGCCGCCAGAACCTGAAGGCGAGCGTCAGCTTCACGGACCAGGAGAAGAAGCTGCTCGACGTGAGCATCGCGACCACGACCGACCGCGGCACCGGCAGCTGCGAGGCGCTGGGGCCCGAGCTGGAGCTGGTGGATCCGCCCGTGCACATCACCATCGAGAGCGAGCCGCTGCCGCTGGCCGTGTACCCGCCGCCCCCGGAGTTCTCGGGCAGCGTGCTGCCGACGGCGGCGTACGGCAACATCTTCATCTCAGTGTCAGTGAGTCGAGACCCCACGATCGATGCTTCCAGGTGTCCTGACTTGTTGGACTTGCCCCACAGGGCCAAGCCGGTGTACCACGGAATGGCGACGCTGCCGCGGCGGCCCTGCGCCATTCCCCACTACGACAACATGGGTCCCCGCGTCACCGCCGGCGGTAGCTCCACGCTCTCGCTGCCCGGCTCGGCGGCCGTGGAACTGCCGGTGCCGCCCCCGCCTCCGCCGCCCCCCAGCTGCGCCCCCCAGCTCACCCCCGAGTTCGTCTCTCTCTAACCTGACCTCCTTGTGGTTGATCTTCAATTAGTGCCTTTGCTCACATCAACACACTCATTTATGTCTACGACTACCGTTATGTCTGTTCGATTCTGTTTGTATGTTGTTTCAGTGTGTATTCCATACTCCACACTTCTAACTGTTTGTCGATCATGTGTATACAAAACCTTTTAGAGATTGTCTGTCTGACCGACGTGCTCTCATTCTGACGCCCACACGAGAACAAGACTTTTGACCGTATACATTTTAATTGACATTAATCTTTTGTTATTTGCGTATTGTTGATCTGTTAGATAAATTAAATAAATTAATCTTTGTAATTAACAGATTTGTTTGCTTTATGCGAACCCATCACGTCACGAAAATTTAACTAAATGCACGACGTACACTGTGCTTAATTAGAAGCGCGAACAATAAATTGGCTCTGTCCAGCAGGCGGCACTTCCTGCGAAATTAACTGATCATAACTTCCCGTTCTGGAAGCGAGTTGTTTTGTGACGGTCCGATCTCACGCTAATTACCGACATAATTAATCGTCAAAAGTACAGTGAAACGCTAAACCCCCAGAACTCCTTTTTTGCTCGGTCCAAAACTTAACTCCGGAACTCCTTTGTCGCCTACAGTAACGTTTTGCATCCACCGCAACCTTCACAAAATCACCTTATCAAAACATTTTTATTTCAACGTTTAAATTATTATTGCGACGAATGATCGGATGACCTGTCGGATTATATTTCAGATTGGGAAGGAAATATGTTATTTCGGAGGATTTGTCAATACCTCGTCTATTTAAATTTTATGTGGCGTAAATCAATAGCTTGAGCAGCGGGCTAAAACCTTTCAGGTTTTTGTCGGGTATACAGTCAAAGAGACGATAAATGGTGTTTGTACGAATAAAGGATTTTTTTTTCAAACTAGTCTAGCAAAGTAGTGTACATTGTATTACTTAAACTGTCGAACTAGAAACTTACAATGTTAGCTGGAGACGTATAGACAAATGTTTAAATTGATGAAAAAGAATAAGTCACTTTTGTGCTTTGGAAAAATACATTATAGAACCTTGAACAAAGATTTATCTAAGACAAATCTGTCCAAATTATAAAAATGTATTGTTTGCCGTTGGGATTCGAACTACAACTACTTAGAAGATCACCGATACGTTGAAAGCGCTTTACTGCTCAAATAAAAATGAAATATAGACGAAATTCAACATTATGTTCAACATGGAGCAATAGATGTATGTCGCTTTGATTATTTTTTGAACTGGATACATGCAATAATTTTTTGTGAGTTCGGAGTGCATTTCCAGTGGTCCTACAGTATTGATTTAACAGAAACATGTACAATAAATTCAATTTGTAATTTGTAAATTTTTTTCAGCGAAATTAATTTGAACTCCAATTTTTTTCCGAACACATATATATTTATGAGTATTGATCAATTGAGGTGCTTTTAAGGGGTATTGTGGCTTACAAAATTCAAACGATGCTATAAAAAGAAATATGTAGTTTTCTAAATATTTTTCTTTATATGATCTTGAGGGTAACAAAGTTGTTTTTAGAGCGTTTTCTATTGCTAAAATTAATTCGGATTTGTCTTTATTCTTACTAATCTGGGAATAATTGAGGCTTTCAACTTCATTCTGAGGTAATAGTTCACCAACTAAAAAAATTAGATATTTTTTTCCAAATAAATCATTTTTTAGTGTTGTAAGCTTTTAGTTTTTTTAAAGCAATTACGAGTATTATTAGTGTTTTAAGTACTTTTGATGGACTAAATTTAAAAAACTTATTTTAATATGGGTAAAAACTCTAAAAACATATTAAGTGATTTCATAAGGCTACCGCTCATAATTATCATTTGGAAATCAATTTTAGTAAACTAAAACAACAAAATTGATCTCTTTTTAAGTTTTTTAATGTAATAATTTACAATAGGTTTCACAACGAATTTTTCTATAGTAATTAGGTGATCGGGTACAAGAGAATGAATTTCAGTCTTTTTTCAGAATGACATTTTTTATTTTTATCGGAAGATGATCTGACCACCAATTGACAACCAAGTTGAACTCTTAAAAGACAATACTTAATCTTCACGTAACCATTTTTTGACAAAAATGATGACAATCAAAACGAAGTTTTTGTTATATAGTTGTCATAATGAAAATCCTGTTTGACCAAAGTAGATGTAGATGCTTGAATTGATGTCTTCCTTGATTGTTTAACGTAGTTTTCTTCACACGTGTGTTTTTTATTTCCGTCTTTTGTTGCATTTTGTTCCCCTTTAACTTTCGTTACGTTATTAGTTATTAGTTATTTAATGCAACCTTAAGTTTAACAGAACTTGTATGATTTGCATAAGATTTTTGGTTACTTCTCTTTTAGTCAAAACAAAAAAAAAACTCTTTTTTATAATATCAAAAGCAAAATTTTTTGCAGGACCTTGGTGTATTTTGACATTCTTTTCTGTCAACGAGCATCTTTCTATTACTTTCATTTCCAGTTGGACTCGTCTTATTGTAATTGAGTCCGTTGGATGACTGGCTACTTTTATGTTTTCTCGAGATTTCAGTACCCCTAAAGCGGGAAAATAGGTTTCTTGTTTCCGTTTGTCTGTCTGTCTGTCGTCTGTTCTGGTTTTTTATATAGATTATTTTCTAAACTACCAGACCGATTGTTATGAAATTTTATATGTGTTTTAGGAATCGTGTAGATGGATTGGATTATGTAATAACGGACAATTTTGATTTTCCACCACTTTATAGCCTTAGTTTCAGGAAAACTTATAAGAAAAAGTAAAAAAAAAACATTTTCAGGTCTTTGGGAGTTATCACGTCGTAAAGCCAAAATCTTTTTGAAATTGTCATTACATTTAGGCTGACTTTTATTTGTGTCGACTTTTCCATTTAGGAACTTCCGTTTCTTTTGCTTTCTTTTGCTCCATTGTTTCAGAGGGTTAATTTTACTCGATTACCTACTAATGTTTTTCCATTATCATTTTGAAAGTAGGTAAAACTTGAAACTGGAATTCTATTTTCTTTTTAAATAAGAAGCATACTTAGCAAATTATTCAAAAATAGAGAAAAAGATAGTTTGTTTGTTCACCATGGTCATTTGATTTTGAACACCTCATAAAAATTGAACTAGAAAGGTAGGTCAAACTGAATGAATGTTGTCACTGATAAGGCTTACTAACAAGTTACCACTACAATCAACAGGTGTGGATTTTAATGAAAAGTAGTCTTTAATTGACCCGAGCATTTCGCACTTTTTTTTTTTAATACAACTGTGCTACCGCTCCGCAGTGGTTTTTTTTCTGAAATTAAACGCCATTGGACTCGGTCCAAGCAATCCTGCTCTTGATTGGTTAAAAATTTCCGGGTTTGATTGCCGCTGTAAACTCTTACGATTTTTCCGGTTTTCGGAATGACGACACGTGTATCACAATTAAGCAAATGGACTCGCGGTTGTAATTCGTGCGAGGGTGTGGTCATGACGTGATAGAAATCTTGGCCATCCGTTCCGGCGACCCGTCTATGACCTCCTTCTTCATAAATAGATTCAACACGCCGCCAATGTTGTGTCGATTCCGGTGACCATTGTCGTCCCGGAAAATGACTGATACGGTCGCAGATAATGAAGTGAATCCAGGGTGCTTTTCTCAAACGTATCCGGACACTCAAATCCTGCGACATCTTTTGTCGATCGTGTCGTCGTATTTCTCTTGCTGTCTCTCCTCTAAACCGTGCACAGATATTCCGGGCCCAGAAACGTGCGGAATTCAAACAACCTGCTTAGTCTGTGCGTGCGTTAGCCGAGTAATCCTCTACAGGTATCAACAGGGTTAGATATGGCACCGGGAGAGTCCTTATCTGTGCTAACGATCGCTCGTAAACTTTAATGTTTTTATTTTAAAATGCGGATGTCATAGTTGGAACGGAGCAATATTTTTCAATACGTCGCGTCAAAGCGTCGAGCTTAATGGAAAGCTCTCCTTATTAATGCGTCGTGTCTAATCCCGATAGGAGTGAAAATTCGTTATCGACTTAGAACACTCGGGAAGGGTAATTATGCTAATCTGAGCGGATCCATTGCTACGATTATATCACTTTGACATGTGATGCAACCCCCTTCTCGTGGGGCGGCCGTCATTTCACAGATGATTCCACTAGCCAGCGTTTCAGGTTTACACGGAGATGACGTTTCGGGTTTGCTGAGCTCTTACTGACCTAGTTTTTGGGAGATTTGAACAGATCTTTACGCTTTGAGTTGAGGCGTGTTTAAAATACAGTTGAATACAAGAACATTTACTCTAAATACTCAAACAAATATAAAAAAGAGATGAGCAGAAATGTTCCTTGTAAGCGATAAAAATGAAGCATGTACTATGTCTTCCGCTGAGTATTGTATAATACTTATAAGAAAATAATATTAATAGATTTTTTTTTGAAAATATTATTTTTTAAACAAACAGATTTTTGATAATTGTATTAAATATATTTTTTAAATACTTTTTCTTGCACAGTGCTAAAAACGCTCCATTTTAGTGATGCTTGGGGAACATTTGGGATTTTCACATTTATGACAAAAACTTAACGAAGGTCAATTTTGCAAATTTTTCGACATTTTGATTTTGCATGTTTTTTTTTGTATTTTTATGGAATGGTAATAGAGACCCATTAGACGAACGGTAATTTCAAGTTTTCTTAACGTTTCTATACCCTAGAATATGGAAGTAGGTCCCGCTTCTGTTGTCTGCCTGTTGTCCGAAACTACTGGATTGACTGTTCTGAAATTTTTGATGTATTTTAGGAATAGCGTGTAATTCCCATTTAAACTTTTCAAAATAATTTTCTTTTCTTGTATGCTATGGTTTATGAATCCTTCTTTATTTTTTACCTTAGAGATCCAGATATTTGAAAAGAAATCAGAATTATATAAAAGGCAAAACTGAATCTTCTGAAACCTTGCAAATGTTTTAAGGTTAACGTAAGCCTGGTGAAGCACTAATCAAAATTTATTTGTTTGTCCCCTTCTAAAATCTTATGACGTCATCTCAAAATTTTGATGAATAAGTCCAATCTAAACTGTGCCAATCTACATCTACATTTATGGTTCATCAAATTTTATAATTAATCTAAGAATCTGGGTTTGCTGAACTTGAGGAACGAAGGAAGTTCAGTCTAATTTTAGATCAATTTTCTTAACTTTTACTTCCCGAGCGTAACCTAAGGAAGTATTGTAATCGAGAAAAATATAGGCCTGTCGTTTTTCCTAAACCACATGACTCATTATTGTCAAATTTTGTGTGTATATTGGGAACAT